ACTCTGATGATGAAAGTGATTCTTCTGACACATCTTTTGAATTGGAGACCCCTAATGATGAACTACTCCTTGGGCTTCCATCTGAAGATTCAGAAGATGATGATTATGATCCTGATTCCCATGAACACAATGAACAGATCATGCAATATAGTTCATCTTCTGATTTTACTTCTGACTCTGAGGATTTCAGTGTAGAGTTTAAAAATATCATGTCGCCTGGGCAAGAAGATCATTATGAAAAAGTAGAAGTAGGTGGTGGGCCCCATTCCTTGAAGGGTGAAGTTGAATTTCTTATGCAGTCCTATGAAACACTTGCATCTGGAAAAAGGCATATTGAGAGGTTGGATTACAAAAAGTTACATGATGTGAGTTTCTTATTTTATAATGACTGCATACTGTGCCTCTTAAGTATTAAATTTATGATTTATCTTGCAAGTGATCATACAATCTATAACCCTTCCAATGTTCCCAATCCATCGTCAATGATTTATTGATCTCACACACACACGCGCGCACTCACCAAACTGTGTGGCTATGTTTGGAACCAAGAAAATGTTAGGGTAAGGGGGAAATGCTATGAAAAATGTTTTGTTAAACATATGTTTAGATTTATTATCTTTAGATGATGGAAAATGAAATTATATATATGAATACCTTATATTGATGCTAAGTTTGAACCAAAAGCTTGTTTCCCCCCAAATTTCCCTTATATTCTTCTCATTATTTTCTGCCCATGGTATTTTTCAGGTTCCAAACTGACCTTTTTTGAGTTGAGAAGTCTTGGCATATTGTACTCGTACTGTTAATTTAGGTTGTAGTCATATTTATCATTTGCTTCTTTATCAGGCTTGGTTAATATTCATGCAATGCCGATTTTCCATCTTAATTGTTAATCTGTAATCTGACTGCATAGTTTCCATCTTAATTTGTTGGCACCTGTAGGAAACGTTTGGAGTTGCATCCTCTGACTCTAGCGACGAAGATTATGAGGATAATTCAGCTTCCAAAAACAGAAAGAAAAGAAGTGACAAAGCTGCTCTGAAGTCATCTGATCAAAGTCCAGTAGATACTACTGTCAAGAATGCTTCTAGAACGTCTAGCAAGAAGCGGAAGGCTGATAGCTTGGTGGAATCTGAATCTGGTTTAAGTAGTAAAAGAAACACAAGATTAAAGTATGGAGATGATGTAATTAAGGTAAAAATGATTTGTTTGTGTTTTCAGCTTAAATAACTGCAGTGGCACCTTTAATATATAGCTGCTCTTTTTCTCCAAATGTTTGCACACAAGACTTACTAATAAAAAATTGTGGTGTAATTTCTGCTTCTTCAAAAATACCTTTACTTGTATTTGTAGAATGTCATCTGTTTCTCATACTATATCCAAACCTATATTAAAATGCAGAACAGTTCTACCACTTCAATAAATGTGTTCCTATGAGCATCCTGGCCTTTAACTTCTGTTCATTTCTTCAGCTTGACATGTATACCTAAAATCTCTCTGTTGCAGAGGCTCTATGAATCCTTCAAGGAAAATCACTATCCAAAACGAGAAGTCAAGGAAAGCTTGGCTAAAGAATTGGGACTGGCAGTCCAGCAGGTTCGTGTATTTCCACTCAAGCATTTGTAATTGACTGACAACTGTTATTATTACTCTAACTCTTGCTTATTTAAAAAAAAATTGGCTTGGCCTAAAATAAGTGAGCTGAGTGGCTGAATTTGTTGAATCTCCTGAAATATTGTGGTTTAATTGGCTTAAGTAGACCATTTATTTAACATAAACTTCCTCCATATTAAAAACGCCGCCTTCTCTCAATATACTCTAATCCTTCTTGCCCCACTCTTGTGGGATGTCCTCTTGTTTCTTTTTAAGAAAAGAGTTGTGTGATCTGCATTCTTTCTATCATTTATAAATAAACCAAAACCACACAAATTCTATCTTAAGAAATGTGTCGAGGGAAGATATTTTTAGGATGGAGGGAATATACTTCTACAGTGAGTTATAAAAAAAATCTAAAAAAAGCAAAGTTGGAGCGCTCAATTAGAGTATCTTTTACAGTTATTTTTAGAGTAAATTCCATAATTGGTCCTTTATAACAGGGAGTTTCCCTATTTAGTCCTTTATAATCAAATATTACCCCAGTGGTACTTCTTTTATGGGCATCTTTCCACAAATAGTCCTTTTTTTATTTTCTATCATGTTGGAGTTAATTTGAGGGCTAAAAGTATAATTTCACAATGATAATATATCTTTTTTGTCATACACAATTCCAAAGAATGTTCCGTTTGCGTCGTTTGTGAATTACATTCGCTTTCTACTACAACCATAATGTACAAATGTGGTCTTCCGGCGGAATCCTAGCCCACAATTATAGTCATTATTTTTGTGTTATCCGCTTAACCAATATCAGAAAACGTCACTAGGCATAATGTTGATGTCAAATTATACTTTTAGCCTTTAAATTAACATCCACATGGCGGAAGATCAAAAAAGGACTATTTGTGGAAAGGCACCATTAAAAAAAGAACTACGAGGGTAATATTTGATAATTGAGGACTACTTATGGAAACTCCCCTATTATAAAGGACCAATTATGGAATTTACTCTTATTTTTATTACAAGCCAATCAGAACCAGTGTAATGAATTAAGTTAGGTGGTATCATTTTGTAAAAAAATATGTGGAAAATAGGAAATTGCCTTAAAGTGTTGACTAGTAACTGGGCACTTATTATGTTTCCACTTCTGTAACGATATCTCTTATACTACAGGTTAACAAATGGTTTAATAATACACGTTGGAGTTTTAACCATCTGTCACCACAAACCAAAAATGTCATGCCTGCTGTTGAAGAACATGCCAATGTAGATACCAAAGAGTTGCCATTGTCAACTCTAGAGACTGGTGAAGTAAAACATATTACTACTCCAGAATCCAAACCTAGTGTCAATGCTGATCATCAGGCATCTCAGAAGCCAAAGGAGAACAAACCCCAAGTTGATAAGAAGAAAAGCTCTCTGCCAGTGCGAAGAAGAAACAGATTAAAAGCTTAAAACAGATATTGATGTGCAGTGTGTTATCAATCTTTGACAAGAAACTTTATACCCAACTCAAAATCCATAATATATTGTAGTACCAGGAAACCTATTCTGAATAATACTTTCAATTCCTCCACTGTTTTATCAGCTGAAATGATGTGTACTATGCAATACAGAGGGTTGGTTTTGTCGTTTGGAACCATCTAATTGGGGTTTTGCCCAACCTCTCTAATTCTAATTTTACTAAAATTTGTATGTTTTAGATCGCCGTTAAGTTGTCAACGGTGTGTTAACAGAAATGACCTATTTTGCGTAACAAAATGGAAGTTGGAACTATTTTTTATGAATTTTCATTTTTTAAATTTTCTGAAATTTCTATTTAAATTTCAAAAATGAATATCTTTCTTCATATTTTTTTTCATTTTTTAAAAATTAGTCTTGCCTATTAAAAATAAAACATAGATATAAAAATAAAAAAAATGAGAAAATAACTAAAGACATAAAAAATTAATAAAATTAATAGAAAAATCAATAGAAATTAAACTCAAATTGGTAAGAAATAACATTAAAATATAAGGAGCGGAGATATTTTATGCACAATAGAGAGTATTAATTTACCATTTCTTATTTTTTGAAAAAAAAAACAGATAAAGTTGAGATTATTCTAGATAATTTTTCTTAAAAATAAGAAGATGTGCATTAATACTATGTATTGTGTGTAAAATGTTAAAACTTATAACTCCGTATATTTATATTTTATTTCTTACCAATTTCTGGTTAGTTTCTATTGATTACCTTATTTATTTCATCAATTTTGTATGATTTTTTGTTATTTTTCTCATTTTTCATTATTTTTATATCTATTTTTTTATTTTTTCTAATCTAATATTAATTTTTAAATAAATAAAATGAAATGATGGAGGTAGAAAATTATTTTAAAATTTTAAATAAAAATTTTAAATGGAAATTAAAAACAAAAATTCATAAAAAATAATCCCAAATTTCATTTTGTTGCGTAAAACAGGTCGTTTCCGTTAACCCATCGTTTCAGTAAAAATGGGATTTTTGAAAGATTGTGAAAAGTTAGGACTTTTCTGGAAAATTTTTCCTTATTAAATTTACATTATTTTTCACGTAGTTTAATAAAGTTTGAAAAAAAATTGGTCTTGATTTATTCAGATTAAAGAGAATTAACGTGGATCATTCATTTTCAAAAGGAATAAAACCTTTATTTAAGGACAAGTAGAAATAAAAATTTATATCGAACGGATCCATTAATTATAGTTATTCTATGTCATATTAACAAACAATTTTATCCAACCTGTGATGAACACTCTATTCGCTCAAAGTCTAATTGCAATGATGCCAATACCCCGTTGAGAACAAATTTAACAACTTCATGTGTAAATGTTATATCCATGTGTGATTTTATGGTTTGTACCCAATTATGAAATATAACACAAAACTAAATATTTTGTAAATCTCAATACATATCATTCACTTATACGGAGTATTTTAAAATTTTAAAATAACTTTCTACCTCCATCATTTCATTTTCTTTATTTAAAAATTAGTATTAGATTAGAAAAAATTAAAAAATAGATATAAAAATAAGGAAAAATGAGAAAAATAACTAAAATCATACAAAATTCATGAAATAAATAAGGTAATCAATAGAAACTAACCAGAAATTGGTAAAAAATAAAATATAAATATACGGAGTTGTGAGTTTTAACATTTTACGCACAATACATAGTATTAATGCACATCTTCTTCTTATTTTTTAAGAAAATTATCTAGAATAAACCCAATTTTATCTGCTTTTTTCAAAAAATAAGAAATAGTACATTAATACTCTCTATTGTGCGTAAAATGTCTCCACTCCTTATATTATAATGTTATTTCTTACCAATTTGAGTTTAATTTCTATTGATTTTCTATTCATTTCATTAATTTTGTATGTCTTTAGTTATTTTCTCATTTTTGTTATTTTTATATCTATGTTTTATTTTTATAAGGCAAGACTATTTTTTAAAAAATGAAAAAGAAATGAAGAAAGATATTTATTTTTGAAATTTAAATGAAAATTTCAGAAAAATTAAAAAATGAAAATTCATAAAAAATAATTCTAATTTCCATTTTGTTACGCAAAATAGGTCATTTCTGTTAACACACCGTTGACAACTTAACGGCGATCTAAAACATACAAATTTTAGTAAAATTAGAATTATTATGCATTACAGTGCAAAGTAAAATTATTTTTTAAAGACTAAGTAAAGTTGAGATTATTTTAGATTTATTTTAAAGTATAGTTTCAATATATTATACTTTTATAGCATTTAATTATTAAAAATAATATATATATTTAAAAAATATTACACAATTTTACAAAAAAATCAAATTGTGATAACCTCTTTGAGTTTGACCGCGAACTATGAAAAAAATGAACTTAGTTATAATTTAAATTTAGTAAAATTGCATTTATTTGAAGATACAATTTTGATTTATTAATTTTTTATACTCTTTCCGTTCCACAAAACATTACCCATTTTGATATATTTTTGGTCAAAAGGTTACATGCTTCGTCTATAAAATAAATATAATCTAAATAAAGAAATGTTATAAAAATTTGATATATGAAAACTAGATAATCCAATTATATTAAATTTATATTAGAATTCAACATATACTTTTTTTATAATTTGTAGTCAAAGCATGTAATCGTTTGACCAAATGCTACTCAAAATGAGTAATGTTTTATGAAACGAATAAAGTAATATTTAATCATTTTTAAGCTATATTTAATTTATCGTCAAAGTATATCATAATTTGGCCCGGTTCTAGTGACACCGGAGAACGGTGCTACTAGCGGTGCCACTGGGTTTTTGGGGCACCTCCGGTGCTCCGTTCGTAAAATTGACGGTTCCTACCCCCTAACCCATCCCCTAAACCCCCCACCCTACCCCCACCCCAACCCCGCCGTAACCTCCCCACAAAATATGTGGCTATTATGCAATGCATAATAGCCACACATTTTGTTGGGGGGAGTTACGGTGGGGTTGGGTTTGGGGTTTGGGGTGGGGGATTTAGGGGGTGGGTTAGGGGGTAGAAACCATCAGTTTTATGAACGGAGTACCGGTGTCACTGGAACCGGACCGATCATAATTTAACTAAAAAATGAAATTGTGTCCATCTAAACACTAAAAACGTGCATAGAGACCTAAGACCGGATCTGCATAGTCGAACCTGGATCTGCGCTCCGTCGCGGCTACGGCTTGCCGCCGCTAACTCTGCCAGAGTCTGCGCACCATCGCGGCTACGGCTTGCCGCCTTTATTTCCGCCATCAACCTAACTGCCATTCCAACTTCTACAGGTATCTATACATTGGTAGATTTGAAATTTTAAATGCTTAATGTTTTAAATCTTTAGTAGATTGATTTATTGTTGTTTCCAAGTAATAATTGATAACAATTGCATATGTGTTCAATTAAGAGAAAGTTTTTCTCAGTTTTAAAAAATAGAAAAAGAAAATGAATTTTGTATGACTAATAGAGTAATTTTGGATAGTCATAGTCAAATCGATATAGCTAGGGCTGAATCCTCTAGTATCCCTGATTTCTTGATTCACCTATGCATGAGAATACTCTGCATTCTATATTACATGGTATCAGCATAGAAAAATTTCTCCTTTCAATACAATAAAAGAATATAGCAATGCTTGATTTTCTACATTCTTTAAAAGTAATGCTAGATTTACAAACAAAACACTCACAAAATGCACAAACTTACTATTTGTGTATTTAACTTTTTATTTTTTAAGGTAATTATTGAGACCATTATTTAAAACCATTACTTTATATATTGGGTAAGTTTGTGCATTTTGTGAATATTTGGTTTGTGACTCTAGCATTACTCATTCTTTAATATTAAAAATTCATTTCTTGTTAATATGGATAGAGACAAGTCAAACACATAGAATGCATAAGTGTGATTCAAATCTTTAACCCAATTTTTAAGAAGTTATTATCTCAAATTCCATACATTGTTCTGTTAGTTTAATAATTGAGAAGGTTAAAGGAATTACATGAAAAACCCCAAAAAATAGAACCATACAGTACCTTTATTAGATTGTGGATTCGGACATTTGGCTCCAATATTATTTCAAGATTTAGTACACTTAAACACATCATTCTCCTTATACTACTCTCCAATTAAGCAATAACATCACATAACCCTTGTACACAAAAACCAAATCAATTGTGTTTTAATTGTCTCATACCATGTTTACCCGGTTGTTCCAACGAAAGTAAACCAATTTTTTGGTGAATACTCATCACTACATTCACATCCAATAGTAACTTTTCTCAACAAAGCTACATACAGTTCTTTGCTACTCATAACTCACTGATTGATATCCATTTAGGACACAGTATGCTCCGGTAATTTTGGAAAATGGACATCTACCTTAAAGTGAGACACTGTATATAATGGAATGTAAGAGGTAATTCTATACATGACTTTAGTTTGTTGACATGGTGCTGAAATGTTTATATACTTTGTAATGCTTTGTATAAGAAGTGGGAGTATCTGACATATATAAATGGGATTTAAATATCTAAATTACCAATTTTAACTCCAAAAATCAGGATTATAGGGCGTACACATAACACAACAGCATCTTTGTTCTATCTTGATCATCATCTTCATAAATTTAAACAGCCGGACAACCCTGACACTTTCAGTTTAACCTGTCAATTTCAGAGTTCAAAATGTATTGACCCGAAATATGGGACAATAGACCATACACACTGTCGACCTGAGCTCCTAACTTCTTCAAATACACATTCGATCCAATCTACATATATTTTAATTTCAAAACATAAGTCTGTCTAAAGCATTCAATAGTTGATTAAATAGTTGAGTTTATTATCGTGCTTCACATTAGAAAAGTGGTCGTGCTGAGAAGAATACATTGAAAATATATTTGACTGAAGAACACAATAAAGAGTGCGAAGATGATAAATATGCATTGTGGACTCATGTGGCATTGAAAATGTTTGAATGTGAAATTTGACATTTTAGGTGCTAATTATTGAAAACGGCAAATGAAAATAATTTTTTAAAAGAAAATAATATATACTCTCTGTACACCATAAATCTTCTCAAGTTGACTTTTTATAATTGTTAAGAAGAGTTGAAAATAAGTGTAAATTTTCTAAAATACATTTTTACAACATCCATAAAAAGCCTTTAGGACTATTTTTTTTCCATCTCGGCCCAAACCATTGAATTCTTAGGACCGGCCCTGGTGGGGAATCGAATGTTCCAACCGACAAATCTCTCTTATATCTGTGATGTTGTTTTCAAAAATAGCAACTTTAGCCATTTTGAGAATGTCTGTCTTTAGTAACATGTACAAATTGATGCTCCATATCAATTAGTTTTACATTTCTGGTTATGGAGCTGTTTATCATGGGTTCCAGATTGCTTCTTGTACTGGGATACAAGCTTGTCACAGCTTGACCTGTCCAGATCCATACTAGGACGCCAATACGGCTTATACTGTTATCTTTTGAGAGCCCGACCTCACCACTTGATCTTTAGACTTTCAGATCTATGCATCAGATCTGCTTTGTCATTTAAAGCCTTCCATTCTATGGTTCTGTGGAGAACAACGTAGTTATACTCATACCTCCCAATTGTTTTGCATGAGATTTTAGTATGGATATGTTTGTTCTCTTCTATTCACGCGTAGAATTGATACATAATTCAATTTCATGATTGAGTGATGCTAGAATTTTGTATTGGCCTAATTTCACTTAACCAGGCCATGAAACATTTTGGTCAAAATCTTAGTAAAGGTTTGAATCTGACTAGTTGATTCAATCCAAGATTTTACTAACTCATCCTTTTCTCTCAGATATTCCAATAGAAACTCTTCAAACTCTCTTCATTCAGGATCTTACAAGATAGGCTTCATCATACTCCGTAAATTGGTTGTTCCATAACGATTTTAGAATCAGCTTTGCATCTATCTTCCCAATGGAGAATCCCCAGCTCAAAGAGGTACGCTTTACACGTCCATGGACATTTACGTCTGAATTTTGAACACATTGATTCTAAGTCTGGCCGGAAGCTGTTCTATCAATCACGGAATTCTTCCTGTTGTGATTTTTCATTTTTTTTTCTGGCCAGATAATAGAGAAGCAAGTGTTGACGGTGGCCAAGGCCGTAGAGGATAAGATCGATGAGGAAATTGCGGCCCTAGATCGGCTAGATCTCGACGATATAGAGGTGCTCAGGGAGCGCAGATTGCAGCAGATGAAGAAAATGGCCGAGAAGCAGAGCCGCTGGAAATCTCTTGGCCACGGCGAGTATTCCGAGATAATGGCCGAGAAAGATTTCTTCTCCGTGGTTAAGGCCAGCGAGCGTGTTGTCTGCCATTTCTACCGTGAGAATTGGCCTTGCAAGGTAACCTAATCACTATTGTTGAAATAAATCCATTCATTTTAGCTCTGTTTTTGTGTAAATTGGCGGAGAATTCAATAGATTAATGTCTTTTATCGATACATGATTTTGACATAATTCAAGTCCAAAATTTAAATTAGTATTCTGCTATCTTACTCTATAGAAACTTGATCTGTGATGTTCCTTGTTCTAGGAAAGTTGCTCTAAATAAGTGCTAGACGTGTTTTAGGTGGTAGACTAGAGCAAGCGCTAGGTGTGTCCTAGGTGATAGATTTGGGTAGGGGATCCCTGTCGCAAAAATGGTATTGCACCACGCCACGTCGCCACCACGTTGTGAGTCATGACTCACCCTTCACATGCTGCGGCATAGTACAAAAAGGTAGTCTCATTTCATTGTTGTGCTGTCGTGGCAGCATGTTGAAAATGAGATAACATTTTTGGGACATGAAATCTGCTCGCCTAGATTAGGCTGGGGGGGGAGGGGGATATACTGCGGCCCTGCCTCAAAAGTGTTAACCCACCCTCAGATGTTGTCTACTTCATTGTTGTGCTATGTGGCAACAGTTGAGGGTGGGACTAAAAAAAACTATCCCGCTCTCACATTTCAACCCTTCATATGCTGCCACATAGCCTAGTGTTGATGTATTTAGGCGGAGATTATCATGGTGTTGGCGGTCTTAGGCGGGGCTAGGTGGGGATTTTTAGAACAATGGTGCTGTATGGTGTAACTATTAGGGGCTGTTTGGCAACTTCTGAATAGATAAGTGCTGAACCAGTAAGAGGTCTGAACCATTAAGTGCTGAACCAGTAAGAGGTCTGAACCATTAAGAGCTAGTATATTGCTTAACTATTCAGAGACAAATGTCTGATCGATTCAGATAAGAGCTCTTAACCATTCAGACTCTGTATAATACTTAACCATTCAGAGGCAAATCTCTTAACCATTCAGACATCTGAACCATTAAGAGGCTGAAACAAACAGTCTGAACCATTAAGTGCTGAATCATTCAGACATCTGAACCATTAAGAGGCTGAAACAAACAGCCCCTTAGCTTGGTTTCATTTGAAGTAAGCTTTTTTATGGAGATAAGATCAAGCTGCCTTTACTGCACAGGACTTGCACACTCTTGTGCTGGTGATTGCAGTATGGTTTTGATGGAAAGATGGAAGCTTTCATTCAGGATTTTACAGTTTGTGCTCATTAGCTTCCTGATTATTCCAGTAATGTAAAAATTCTTGCCTGATTATCCTCTTCTGATAAAACTCTCTTTCTTAAGCCACTGAGTTCTGCAAAAAAAAACATTCAGTGATTTCAGTCCACTGTCCAACAGAATTCTTGTTCTTCCATTTTAGTATCTGAGAGTCATTATCATCTCCTCAACTTCAAAGGTTTGATGCTTATATAGGAATAAACTCTCCCTCTGCTGAAAGTTGCTATATAGACAAAGGAATCCAGTGTGATGTTGTGTATTTTGCTTCTTGTGGGGTTCAATATCTGTGTTTTAAGATGGAGTGTTTTTGTTTTCATTAATTCAGTGAATATTTATTTTTTTTCATTTAATTATTTTGACTTGGTTTGTGCTTTAGTTTGTGTATTATGAATGAAATGGAACACACACCAATTTGAGCATGCAATCCTAGAAGCTTGTGGTTTGTTTTGAGGACTATGCATAAAAACATGTTAGTTCCCAATTTTTTTGTTCTTTTTATGGTCTCTCACACTATGTTCCCTGTTTTACTTGAGGGGAAGCATTAATGGCATGTTAACCAGCACAATATGATGATGGCAGGTAGTGGATAAGCATATGCGTATATTGGCAGAACGGCATATGGAGACGCGTTTTGTAAAAATTCATGCTGAGAAAAGCCCGTTCTTGGCTGAGAAGCTGAAGATTACTGTTCTCCCCACAATTGCCCTTGTTAAAAATGCTAAAGTAGAGGATTATGTGGTACGTTTTGTGTCATGAAACCGTTTGTCCTTGGAACTATTAAGGGCCAATTTGGCTCAAACACTTGAATTGTGATTGCTGTCCATGACACCACAAAAATTACTAACTTCTGCTTTTTTTTTGTGTGGGAGTTTTTTTTATTTTAAACTGATCATTATGCATGACGTTTATTAGGTTGGTTTTGATGAGCTCGGGGGAAAAGATGATTTTACGACGGAGGAACTAGAAGAGAGGTTAGCCAAAGCTGGAGTCATCAATCTTGAGTCTGAGTCTTCTTCTCTAATGGCATCAAAATCAAAATCTCAACAAAGGAGTGTTCGCCAAAGCTCAAATGCAGATTCATCTGACTCGGAATAAATCGCAAATGAAAATGTTTTGTGAAAGAACCCAAACTTCTGTACTTTCGTTTGTTCAGAAACATGTAGGGTAACTCTTACAAAATTGTGAACTCAATCTTGAGTTGTTTTCAGATACCATATAACCCATTTCCAAAATCTAGTGTTTAAGAAAATTGGTAAATTAAAAGAGTATCACTAGTTAAAAAAGTTCCACCCATATACGGAGTAAAAAATTACAAAAGAAAAGTTGATAAAATAAAAAAAATATTAAAAAGTACTCCCTAATAGAATGGAATTTGAATGTAAAAAAATTAAAATTATTAGAATAATAATTAAAAGTGAAATTATACAAAATATTTTTAAATATTTTTTTATTAATTATTTGAATGGTCATTTAAAATTATATTTATCACGGAGTACGTACTATTTTTTTAATTCGTCATTTCATAATAATATCTTTCAAAAGATTTGAAGACCCAAACTACATGCTTTTCGTGCATGGAGTCACTTTTTTTTAGACAAATTATATGGTGGACCTTAGGTCCATTATATACCTACATATGGCAAAATAAATATTTTTTACTATTTAGATAAGATTTTGTGTTTTTAAATAAAAAATAAAAAAAATGTCATGCACCATAGAAGCACACTTTTTTTCTAATCCCCGCCCCCACATACGAATAGCTAATCCCCACCGGCCCATAGTTTTGTTTTGGAAGTCCGGCCCGTAGCTAAGTGCTTTAGTGGGAGAGATTGAAAATTCTGATTCCTCTTTCAATAAATCCACTCTTTAAAGAGCATTTCATAGGTTTTAAAGATATAATATCTTTTGAAATCTCTGAGAGATGATATTAATTATGAAATATAAAATTAATTTATTTAGAGATATTAAAAATTATAATTTAATTAGTGATAAGCGAGAGTGTCTGACAACTGGGATGACTGGGGTACCAGTGATATTTGGTGGCGGGGATTGGTCAAACGGTTGACGGAGATATCAAGAAGAGTTCAGAACTCATATTTTTTTCACGGATTTCTGCTATAATTTTAAATTTGTGATGGAATTGATTTTTTTGGCAGTGACAATAATAGTCGGTGGTGCAGAATAATCAAACAATTGATGGAGATATCAAATCCTCATATTTTCGGAAGATATCAAATTCAATCTCTTTTTAACTTTACCAAACATAAAAAAGAATTATGATATCCAGATATCATAATTCATATCTCTTTTTTTCACCAAAGATATCTCGTGTGTTGGAATTGATTTTTTAATGTTTCGATCCATAGCATATTAACATTTTGTTAATCTAAAAATCACGAATTCAAATCACTCAATTAAAAGAAATTACTCCCTAAGAGTGCATTTGATACACCGAATTGACGGAATTAGAATTGAATTGAGAGTTGAAATTGTATGGAATTGAATTTTCTAATTCCAATTCATTTTTGGCATTACCAATTCCAAATTCACATATTTTTGTGTTACCAAACTACAGAATAAGAATTGTTATTCCCAATTACGATTTCATAATTTGAATTCCGTGTACACACTCGTCTCCAAGTAGGTAAGATCTCCAATTTGTAATAGAGTTCAATTCTTTGATAGAATCCACTTTATAGGGAGAATCCTAATTAGGACATTCACTCCACTTTATAAAGGGGAATCCTTAGACGTTCATAATGTAAAGTGGAGAAAGTGTGGGGTGGTGGAATTTATATTTCATCATTGTCTTCTATTCTATTTTTTTCCTATTTACAATATGGAAAGGTTAATCATTTTTTAGAATAGGCGTTGATTGACATTTTTTTTTAATTTTGTAAGGATATCAAAAGATATCAGAACTCATATTTTTTACATTAACCAAACGAACTCTAACACTATATTTGGTTCAAGAAATAAAGAAGGAAAGCAAAAGAAAAATATTTCTCTCATTTTTCTCACGAAATGGAGGGATGCATGTTTTTCCTCTTCTTAGCTTATTTTAGCTAAAAAAAAATTCTTCCACTTTTTCTCTCAGCCAAACATTAAAAACGAGTTTCTATCTCATTTTCATTTTTTTACCTCTTAAATTTCTTGAAGTAAACATAATATCAATAATTTACAATGAGTAAAATATTACTCTTATCAACATTCCGTTTATGATAAAATTTCTTTGATCCTAGAAAAAAGTGTCTCGAACATTTTGAAAAACATTCGGTATTTTGTTACTATAATTGATAATTTCTATCTTTCTAAATGTGTTCAGGTGAATAGAAACCATCAATTTAGCTACATGTAGGTATAAAGATCTTTCACTAAAGTCAATTAGCAATGGGAAAGTCATATTTTATTTTGGAATTTGGAGCAATGTGGAACGAAGAATGTGGAATACAAACAAACACACCCGCAACAATCTTTCTTAACGGTCAGTCCCTCCTCCCTCTTAGTCTATTGTAATGAAAGCTTTTATTTTTAAATTAACTTGTTTAAATATTTAAACAAATCTAAAAATAAAATTATATACTTAAGTTTACTTATAAATGAGTAAATTTTTAAAATGGTACCCAATAACTATGTGTTTTCTCAAATTAGTTCATAAGATGAACTAATTACTGAGATGGTACACGTTATTTGAAAATAATACCCAATTTAGCCCCCCAACTAACCGCCATCAAAATAGCATCAAAACGACATTAAAACTTATACTTATTTTCTAAAACGATCATTTCTAATCAAATGTTTATCAAAATTAGTCAGCTTTTGGAATAAAACTCATAAAAAATGGTCTCCCGCCTTCGCTCAAACACTGTAAATCAATTAAAAGGAAAAATCATGTTTCCATTTTTCACATTAAATGAGCTTTTACATCAAATGTAGACTAATTTGAAAAAACATCCAATTATAGAAGATCAATTTGGACAATTAGTACTCCGTATAAGTTTTAATGCCGTTTTGACGCTATTTTGGCGACCGTTAGTCGGAGAGACTAAACCGGATATTATTTTCAATTAGTAATTACCATCTCGGTAATTAGTTCATCTTGAAAACTAATTACGAAAAACGCATAATTATTGAGTATGATTTTTGAAAATTTACTCTATTTAAATCTCTAAAAACAAGTGAAGTAACTATATTATTTTAAAAAACGATTAACAATACAAGTAAGGTAAACCAAAATAAAAATAAAATTTAACTTATGAATGATGAAAAGTAACTATATTCCTTTTTGAGTATTTGTATAGTTTTGACTTTTTTCAGTCAAAATTAGTAAACTTTAAACATTAATTAAATAAAATTTATATTAGATATTAATCAAAAAATAATCTCATTATATTTATCTTATTAAACAATTTCAAGTTACGTTCAAACAAATTAATATATCATGAAACTTTTATTTTATTACGGAGTATAAATCAATGGTCAGTCTTAATAAACCAAAAAAGTTTAAATTAGACGAATAGTAGAATAAAATAAGTCATAGTAGACAACACGTTATAAATCTTTTAGTGCAATTGAATTTATTATGTGTCGACCATTTCTTTTTACACAAAAAATTGTGGGTCGACCATTTTTTTTACATTGATAGACCCGTTCTCATCACTCTAATATTTAAATGAAATAATTTAAAATTAATATCAATAAATCAAACATCGTAAACTATATTATAAACAAATCAATGATTTCGGGGAGGGGTAGTGAATAAGATGAAAATAATTTACGCTATCACTATCATTCATATCAAAATGACATATTCCAACCGACACAATATATTAATGCCAATTTTTTTGATTGACATAACATTTTGTGAATTGTCAAAATGCTGGTACATTCCTTTGGGATAAAATTTGGAATACACTTACTAGTGTACTTCTAGAATGATTGGAATTGAATTAGTGTTACCATTAAGTGAATATGGAGTATTATATTATGTCATTATTTCTTTTACACTCTCCAACAGTATCACTAGCAATATCACTGCATTTCTGAAATACCTTTGATGCTTCGTTTGCAAAATACGTAAATGATTTGATTTCTACCGCCTCTCGTTACCCACCTCCTTATAAAGGCTAAAACTTTTAATTAGCCCCACCCTCCTAAGCCCCACATTTGGAGGGGGGCTTGGGGGATGTTGAGGTAGGAGACAGAGGGGTGGGGTTACGTTGTGGTGGGGAATTCAAGGGTGTAACTGGGGTGCGGGATTTAGGGCACAAGAAGTGTCAATTTTGCAAAATGGGCATCAGAGGTATTCCAAAAATACAATAACACCATTAACTAGTGTCAACATAATCATACTCTTATAATTATATTACATACGGAGTATTAATATAAAAATATTTGGAGTATTTTTTAAAAATATTTTACAAAATATTTTTAATTAAGTGTTTTATTTAATAGTTAAATAATTTTTAAATAATATTTTTAATAGTTAAAATATTTTAAATAATATTTTTAATAGTTAAAATATTTTAAATAATATTTTTAATTAAGTGTTTTATTTTTAATTAAGTGTTTTATTTTACAATAACACCATTAACTAGTGTCAATAGAATCATACTCTTATAATAGTTAAAATTTTATTTAATTAATTATCAAAATTTGGTACAATTTTACTACTAAATAAAATCAAATTAATCAAACATATACACAGTGACGGAAGCCGTACATTTTTTAACCACATACATTTTCATGCTCTGAAAAAAGTCACTCTTTATTACAAAAAAAAACTACCTTTTGTTATGACATCTAATTTCTTTACGTACCACATTAACGTAAGAAAAAGTCAAAAAAAAAAAAAATAATCAACGAACTTTCCAAAAGCATTGTAAAATGTAAAGTTCAAATTTCTATCCTAATTCCTTACTTCATTTTGAATAACATTTTACTAAAACCTATCGATTGCTTGTTACAATATTGATAAATTTTTAAAACAAAACTTACATTACTAAAAATCAAATAAAAAATTCGGACAACGTCTGAAATTTTATCTCTTTCAAAATAATTTTATCAACAAATTGGTATGAATTTTAAAATTATAAATTGAAAGAATTATTTGGGAGGAAATTCTCTGTATATTGAATTGGCTTGTGAATTCTGGTTTTGTATACAAAGATCTAACCCTCTTTATATAGGAAGAGGGTAAAGTAAACAAGGAAATTTATATTTCTACTAAAATAAGAATTAAACAAGCTAGGAAAGATACTAAATACTAAACCTAATCCAACTAGGAAAACTAAACCTAATCCCAAAGGGGTTCGGTTTCCTTCTTCAATCCTGCTTCCTTCTTCTGTCTCTAACACTTTCCTTCTTCAATACCGCTTCTTTCTTCTATCTCTAACACCCCCCCTCAAGCTGGAGCATGGGAGTTCAACATGCACAGCTTAGACATAAAAAAAACGTTCCCTCGTTCGCGCATCTGCGCAAGCTTCTCCGCATGTCCCACGTGCAATTCCTACACGTATAATTGGGAACTGCTCCAAACTTGCAAGAAACGTTCCCTCGGTTCACGCATCTACGCAAGCTTCTCCGGCAGGTCCCACGTGCAATTCCAACACGTACAAATTGGGAACTACTCCAAACTTGCAAGAAACGTTTCCTCAGTTCGCGCATCTGCGCAAGCTTCTCCGGTAGGTCCCACGTACAAATTGGGAACTGCTCTAAACCACAAAAACTGAGCAACGATTGATGGACGAGATGCCGGGCGATCGTGAACAGTAACCGCGATCAAGAGAAACTGCCGTCGGGACGGTCGACGCACTCGATCGTTCTTCAGCAACGGTCGACCATTCCGGCACTTCGACAGCAACAACAGGCGACGATTGATGGACGCGATGCCGGTCGATCGTGAACAGTAGATGCGGAAAGAGTTGTTTGTCTCCGTAGAACAACCTTTGTCCGACCACTTCTTCAAGAATGAGGGAGGATAATCAAAAAAATTAAAAAATCACAATATCCCGCCGGTAGGCATTGAATTGTGTATGCCCACGGGCAGGGGAAGAAGCGTGTTTGAAGTCTCAAGAATTCAAAATTGGCTCTGATACCATGAAAGAATTATTTGCGAGGAAATTCTCTGTATATTGAATTGGCTTGTGAATTCTGGTTTTGAATACAAAGATCTAACCCTCTTTATATAGGAAGATGGTAAAGTAAACAAAGAAATTTTTATTCCTACTAAAATAAGAATTAAACAAACTAGGAAAGATACTACTCCCCCTGTCCCAAATTATATTGCTTGTTTATTATTCACAGGGTCAAGCTTCATTCACTTTCTTTCTCTATTTTCGTTAGCAATTTGATAAAATAAAATATGATTGTCACTAGTTTTGTAGATCTTTTGATGTAGTTTTTTAATATGTAATTTTTATTTTTTAATTCTATACCATTTGTCATATAAAATGGTTTGAAAATAATTTCAGTCAAACATCGTACACCGAAACAGGCGTTATAAAATGGGACGGAGGTAGTAAATACTAAACTTAATCCAACTAGGAAAGATACTAAATCTAATCCCAAAGGGATTCGGTTTCCTTCTTCAATCCCGCTTCCTTCTTCTGTCTCTAACACTTCCTTCTTCAATACCGCTTCCTTCTTCTATCTCTAACATAAATATATATATATATATATATATATATATATATATATTTCAAATTAATTTGAAATATCTATGAAACAAAATTGTTAGTTTCATTTTGTTAGCTAAGCTTTTGAAAAAATAGAAAGCCAATACAAAGTATTTTCTACTTTCTATGTTCCAAATTATATTGTATGTTTACTATTCACATCGTCAAACTTCATTAACTTTTTTTTCCTTATTTTCGCTACTCATTTATGCTAAGTTTTCCCTATCACTTTACTTATTTTCTTTCCCTTATATACAGCGGACCTGCCGGCCCATGCGGGCCAAATCCAATTTCCAAGTCCGTCCACATTATCTAGCGGGCCTGCCCAGCCCAAATGAGTTTACATAGTTGGCCATGATCACCTATGTTTAAGGGCGAGATGGGCAGACTGGATAGGCTCGCTCGAGTTTGGCATGTCTAAGGGCTATTACATGGACGTAGACCCCGCAAAGTAGAAGAATTTCTCTAAACTACGTGAAGGCATCTAGTGTTGTTCTTTATGTTTTTTATACTTACATTTATTATCAAATTCTAAATCTGATCAGATCTAGATATTTTACGAATTTGATAAGAATAATTTGTTTTGTCAAATGTTCAATAAAAATGAACAAAAAAAGTTATGAGAACTCCGAAAATAAGTAAAAAGATGTAATCAAAGTAAGACCGTATCAATAATTAATACTCTCTCCGTCCATAAATAAACTTTCCATTGCGCGTTACGATGTTTGACTGAAGTTATTTTCAAATTATTTTACATGAAAAATGATGTAAAATTTAAAAATAAAATTACATATTAAAAAATTATATCAAAAGATCTCCAAAACTAGAGGTGACATGACTATATTATTTTATCAAATGAGTAACAAAAATGGGCCAACAAAGTAAATAAAGTTTTACACTTTTACCTATATAATTATATGGTATAACATGCTTTGCAATATATATTCTTTCTTTCCTCAAATAAAATTTTAAGCTATATATTGTTCTAAAGTCATTATGATTTTATTTATTTATGTGTTTTTATCGATCAATTGATAGAATATATAATTATACGAAATATCATATTTTGTTTAAAAAATCTTTTGATGTAGTTCTTAAAAATATAATTTGTTTATTTCTACACCAAAATCTCAACAAAAAAATCAAAAAAAAATTTCTCGCAAATCGATTCATGGATTTTACATGGGCAAGGACTATTTATTTATTTATATATTATTTACTTATTTATTTAATTATTATTTAATTTACTTATTTATTTATCAATTTTTATTTATATATTTATTTATATATCAGTTTTTATTTAATTACAAAATAAATAATTATTTTTTATTTATTCATAAAAATTACATACAATAACAAATAATAAAAAATCTATTTTCCAGCAGCCAAATTGAAATGCTACTCCCCCTAGCTTTTTAAATTTTGGCTTTTCGGACTCAAACAGACAACCTTAGAATGCCTTGATGCCAACTACCAAACACCTTTTTGGCAGTTTGACCAGTCAAATCTTCTAAATTAAATTGCACCTTGGTTCCCATGACATTAGGAACCAATGTCATGGGATGACCCGGGGGTGCTCCGATGCCCCATTCGTAAAATTGACGGTTCCTACCCCCTAACCCCCCGGTAAACCCTCCCACCCCGTCCCGACTCGAACACACCCCCACCCCCTTCAATTGCACCCCCAAGTTAATTTTGACTTTGGAGTGCAACTGAAGGGGGTGGGGGGTGTGTTCGAGTCGGGACGGGGTGGGAGGGTATACCGGGGGGTTAGGGGGATAGGAACCGTCAATTTTACGAATGGGGCGTCGGAGCACCCCCGGGTCATTCCATGATATTGGTTCCCAATATCATGGAACCCCCTCATTAAATTGTTATACTTTATTTGTTAGTCTGCTCAAAATAATTGTATGACACGTTTAGTTTCTTAATAAAGTGAATTAATATATTGTCCAAAAACCTACAATTTTTCACTTTCTTCTAATCAAAATTTTACTCGGTGAAGTAAATTTTCACTTTCAAGTTTGTACTCCCTATTTAATACTCCCTCCGTCCCATGAAACATGGGACTTTTGCTTTTTAGGAGGGATTTAAGGGGAGTATATTTTGGTATTGAATTTCCAAAAATGTCCTTTGATTTGATGGGTAAAAGTATGCCCAAAGTATACGTCGAAACGGTGGTAAAAAGACTGATATTTTTGTCAAAACGTCACAGCGTCTTTTTTGTGTGTCTTAGGAACCACCGTGCAAGAATCAATTTTTGTCCCAGATTCACGAAATTGTCTGCATATTTTCTTTCTATTCCTGCATTAATTTATTTGCTTCCCATTGATTTACTCCATAATTTCGCCTGATTTTATACATTATTCGATCCCCACAGAGTAGAAAGTCGATTCTTTTTAAATCGGATGCCATGAATTTCCGTTGAGAAAGGGATTATTGCCCTCGTCATCATCTTCAACCTTTTCTTGCTTTCTTTTTGTAACAAATCTCTCTCTCTCTCTCTCTGGAATTGTTCGCGTGTCAAAAACGTAAATCGAAACGCCAAACAATTCCTCGTCTTGTTTATGTTATCCGAAACTGGCGGTTTCACTTTCCCGGGGAGATTAAAAAAGAGAGAGAGAGACATAAAAGACGGTTTTGTTCCCATTGTAGTTGAAGAAAACTCTGTCTTTGTCGCAGGTTTGGGCTGTCTTTAAGGGCAATTCGAAATCTTCGGGTAAAACTAGGCGTGGGTTTTGACTTTTTGGATCAGAAATTTTCGCCGGAATGTTGGCCTTCCGGTCACCGGAAGTCCGTTGAATTGACTCTGACGCCATTTAAAAATAATTAGAAAGATTTATAATTTAAAAAAAGGAATCGCTGACGGATTGCTACGTCTTTTTAAAATTAATTGTTTTAATGCATAAACTGCACAGTTACGGATTTCGTACATTTTTGCTTTGATTGATCTCCGTAGTTGCTGAAAGCTAAAGATTTGTAATTTTCTTTTGTTTTGTTTCTCTGCAAGTATAAATACTTGAAGAATCTTTTCATTTCTTTCNATCAGAACCGCATAACCTCTGTACCTCTCTCATCCTTTCTGTGGTTTCTGCAATTTCTGTCCATTTCATCCTTCAAAAAGATCCATAGCCATGGACAGGAGCTCAATGCAATCAAATCTTGAATGGTTCTTGAACTGCACCACCCCCATACCGAATTCCCAGTTTTTACCCAAGGTTTGTTTCTTGAATTGCTCATATAAAGATCTTTACTTTCTGTGCAGGCAACTCCCCGTAGTCTGATTTTGATGTTTCTGTTCTTTTTTTCTGAGAGCAGAGTGAGACAGGGAGCCTTAATAGGCTATGGCATCCAGTGGAGAGGGAGGGGTGTGAATACTTCACTTTAGCTGATCTTTGGAGCTGTTATGATGAATGGAGTGTTTATGGGGCTGGCGTTCCTCTCTGTTTGGACAACGGCGAAACAATCGTTCAATATTTTGTTCCTTATCTGTCTGCACTTCAAATCTTTACGAGCAGCGCCTCGCTAAACTCCCTAAACTGTCTAAGGTACCATTTTCATTCTTTACGGTTTCGAATTTGTTAGACTATAATACCTTTTCTTTTTGGGTATCCAGTCACAAGCTTGCACTTTTGGTTGAGTTTGTTCCTCTCTTGATGATTAATGTTTCTAGCTATGTTGAAGTTTTAAAGGGATTTTGTGGTGCTTAATGAGGATTGGTGCATTTGTTGATGTGTAAATGAAGAAGGTAATGAATGTATTTAGCTAAATTTATGCGCTTGTGTGTTTTTGATAGGGAGGAAAGTGTTTCGTCATGTGAAACAAGGGATTCATATAGTGATTCGTTGAGCGAAGAGAGCGAGAGTGACAAGCTCTCAAGATGGGATGGAAGTTCCTCCGAAGAGGGGAACCCGGAGCACGATAGCCTCTTGCAAGCAAATTCTAGATTGGGATACCTATATTTCCAGTACTTTGAGCGATCCACCCCGTATGGAAGGGTTCCTCTCATGGATATGGTAAGAGCCTCTCTGGTTTCACCAAAACTCCAAATCATCTCTAGATTGGTGACCCATAAATGCCATGAAAAATGGAGTCTACCAATCTCTTGTGAAGAAGTGAATCTGACATTGTTCTGCTTTGCTTTTCTTTCATTACAGATTAGTGGCTTAGCTCAAAGGTACCCCGGATTAATGTCATTAAGAAGCGTTGATCTTTCGCCTGCTAGTTGGATGGCAGTTGCTTGGTATACTCCTCCCTTCTCTTTATGCTCTACTCTTGTGGAATTTTACTGGGTTTGTTATTTTTATGGTTTGTTATGAGATGATTTTACAAAAGGGATAAAAGAAAGATCAAGTCACTAATGATGTGGGTCAAAAAAAACTCAGGTACCCAATATATCATATTCCCATGGGAAAAACCAGCAAGGATCTGTCCACTTGCTTTCTCACATTTCACACCATTTCATCTTCTTTTCAAGGTAAAACGATACCGATTACACGGTTAAATTTCCATGCACTAAATAAAGAATCAATCATGCTCGTGTGTGTGGTGTCAAAAGTAGTTTGCTTTTAGCTTCATTGATGAATCATTCCCTGCATTAATGGAAGTGTTTTGGCCTGCAAATGTCTGTGGGGTGTGAAATACAGATGCCGAAGTCGAAGGTGATTTGAAGAGTGTGAGTAGGAATCCGAAGGGTAGGGGCGGTGGTGGGGTCCCACTCCCGCCATTCGGGCTGGCTTCGTATAAGATGCAAGGGGATGTTTGGGTATCGGACAAAAGTGGCAAGGACCAAGAGAGGGTGGTGTCACTGTTGAGCGTAGCGGATTCTTGGCTGAAACAGTTAGGGGTCCAACACCACGACTTTAACTACTTCGTCGGTATCCGTGGTGGCTAACCCCCATCCAACCCCACTACCCACCCCACCCACCTACCTATCGAGCCTCACAAGACAACAGAACTAGCAACACTACCTCTCCATCTTGTTGCTATTACTTTGTATCTCTAGCACGCGAATTTAACCGGTTCGGTTTTTGAGACTGTTTGTGGGTGCGTGTGTCTTTATTGTCGAATTTGTGTTATCCGAAAGGAAATTCGAAAGCCGAGGGAGAGGAAGAGAGGTTTTTGTTTTTCTATCAACAAGAATGGTGCTTTTGTACTGGATTGGAAATGTCATTGTCCTCTATAACCTTTGCAGATGAGAAAAAAAACAAAACTTGGTACGAACTATGTTTATAAGCTAATGAATAAATGCAAGATAGATAAATTAGGACCAGAAAAGGCCTCCCAATGACAGATACATTACCCTACACTTACCAAGTCCAATTCTGCACGTGGATAATGTTTGCATGGTTCATACTTTTTTACTTTGCAGGCCTTCTTCCCTTAATCTATCTTGACTTAGGGGCTGTTTGGCAACTTCTGAATCGGTAAGTGCTGAATCAGTAAGAGGTCTGAACCATTAAGTGCTGAACCAGTAAGAGGTCTGAACTATTAAGAGCTAGTATATTGCTTAACTATTCAGAGGCAAATGTCTGATCAATTCAGATAAGAGGTCTTAACCATTCAGACTCTGTATAATACTTAAGCATTCAGAGGCAAATCTCTTAACCATTCAGACATCTGAACCATTAAGAGGCTGAAACAAACAGTCTGAACCATTAAGTGCTGAACCATTCAGACATCTGAACCATTAAGAGGCTGAAACAAACAGCCCCTTAAAGTTGTCTGGTTTCTTTTGTGTCAATCTAATTTTTCCTGTTTTTGTACTACATGAAAAACAATATAGTATGTGGTTCGCATCATTTCTCAAATTCTCACACAATTTACGTTCGACTAAAAACCACAGGTTTTCCAAATTATACAAACTTGGGCGTCGAGACATTTCCGGTTGCTCAATAGGGGACGCAACAGGAACGGAAATCACCACTTATTTGAAAAACTCGTGCAACAGAAATCATGTGAAAAGCTCACATAAATATTGTCCAAAATAAAAGAAAACTCTCGTGAATTTGGTCCAATATGTCTATTATTATGCAATAGGAGTCTTGAATCAACATCACTAGTGACAGATTAGAAGGGCATGCAAGTGTGAAAAGGAGAAAAAAAGGTGACAAAGCCACCCCCACCCCGCCCCACCCCACCCCCCCCCATATCAAGACAAACAACATTTATTCAGTAGGGATAAAAAAAGTTACTAATATTAGAAGTGCCACCATCCACTTCAACTTGTACTTGGTATTATATTGGACAATTAGAGTGGATGCAATACAATAATATATATGCAACCCCCAACAAACAACTCCTCCCCTCCACTTGCCCCAAAAACTATACTCCATATAAAATGTTTTCTCCGCAAATAATTTGTTTTTAATGAATAATTACAGCCTATATGTACAGACACAACATATATTTATTTCACATCCATTTTAAACCTCACTCGATCCCTTACCGATCTAGTTTTACGCTCTAAAAAAATTAAATGGCTATAATTCATTTTGGTTTCTTTTTTTCAAATTCTAAATAGAGAGTAATATTATTTTGGTTTCTAATTTTTTTAAATAATTTTTGCATTGGTTTGTATATTTTAAAATTTATTTGTATTAAAAGTTTAAGTTCAATAAAAAAAATTGTAGTCAATTGGCGCATGTACACCTCCCACTTATAGTAGGCAAAGTATGAAGTTAATGTAAAAGAGAAAGATAATGCAATAAAAAAAGTCTGAAAGGAATGTATACCATGGACCTTACAAATGATCATTTATGAACTAATCTCTTCTTAAAACTACTAACTACTAGTCAAAACTACTAATATAGATAGTAGTCAAAACCACTATGTGATATTATAACTGCTATTCCGTATTGGCCAAAGATTCATAATATTTGCCACCCCTAAACTTGGAGTGAAATATTGAAAAAATATTAAAAAAAAGAATTTCATGTTTTATTTTTAAAAATAAAGCTACAACTTCAATAATACCAACATATAATACCAAAAAACATTGTGGAATTGATGGGATTTAGCCAACAATTATGGCGACGAAGAACAGATTTAGGAAAATAATATCAATAATAATGGTTCTTAATGTATTTCTATTAATTTGTTTGTACTTGTAATTGCCTCCTTTACGATGGAGGGTTCTCCCTCTATTTATACTACTTCCTCCGTCCCATTTTATAACGCATGTTTCGGTTTACGATGTTTGACTGAAATTATTTTCAAACCATTTTATATGACAAATGGTATAGAATTAGAAAATAAAAATTACATATTAAAAAACTACATCAAAAAATCTACAAAATTAGTAGTGACAATAATATTTTATTTTATCAAATTGCTAACGAAAATAGAGAAAGAAGATGAATGAAGTTTGACCCTGTGAATAGTGAACAGACATTATAATTTGGGACGGAGGTAGTACATTACAGTTACATACGTGATGGGCACTCGTCGTGGGCATATGTCTTGGCCATTATCTCTTATCTGTCGATCGTAGAGGTTAACAGCTCAACCCTTGATCTTCCCACGATTTGGGGCTGCCACGATATGTATTATTCTCCTGGGCCTATCCACGGGAACTGGGCCTTTGGTATTTCGTTTACCAATCCCCAATCCGTACTGGCCCAATCCACATCCCCATTCCGTATTGGCCCAATGCACTCTCTTGTGCATTAGGCCAATTATAGTTGTTTGATGGGTCCGGATATCAATCAGGAATGTCAGGATACAATGCTATAGTGACACATTATAAACTCTTATTTTAAGATAAAAATATAGAAGTTTTATTCTAGAGATAAGGATTATATTTTATTTCTGTTCACATGGTTTCTTCAAATCAAATGACTTAATCAAATATTGTTTCTCAACATTAATTTAACTGTATACCACCATGTTTCTACAATTCTTATGCTTCATTTGTCCCAAATTAAATCGTCCGTTACCAGTTCAAAAAATCATCTTAAATTGGAGTAAAACATAAAGAAAGTGTCAAAATAGGAGTTTCATGTTTTTATTCGAGAAATAGGAGATCGCTCTATGGTAATGTGGCACTATACATGTGCATATTACTCCGTACTATATTTTTTTTGGTAATGTATATGGTAATGATTGGTAGTGTAAATACATTTTAACTCCTATTTCAGGAATAAAAACATGAAACTCCTATTTTGATATATTTTCAATGTTTTACTCCTACATTAGTCTTTTTCCCTTACAGTTTACGTTTTCTAGTTTAATTTATTTGAGAACTGGGTAGAATTGAAAATTAAAAAATTAGATTTTTAAAAATGTCATCAAGAGTTTTACAAAACAAAAAGTGATATGACTATATTTTAATATGAAATGAGTCATGAAAATAGGTATAAAAAAAATAAATGAAATTTGACTCGATGAATAGTGAACATCGGCTTAAATTACGATGGAGGGAGTACTACTCGGTATTACCCCGTCCCAAAATTATTATTTCATTTTAACTTTTTTGATCAAAATATAACACTTATACCCGCACTATTTGACAGAATTATTTTCAAAAACTAAAAAATATTATTCCCTCTGTCTCAAATTAATTTTCCTTATTTTTCTTTTTGGGACAAAGAAAATATAAAATTAGAATTTAATCCAAAATAACCTGATATCAATCGGAAACTGGTTGCCAGTAGTTTTGTGAAAGGTTCTCCAAAGTCCAAATATTTTATTCGGACAAAAATAATGTTTAGAAATCAAAATTAAAATAACCTCAAAGTTTAAGTAACATTGGTGGTTTCAAAAAAAAGTAACATTGGTGAAACTTGTTAAGATACAATAAGAATTATTTCATTATTTAATTCGAGTTGGATTTGGGGTACTTAACCTAGATATTCATCCATCAACTTTTGTGTTTTGACTGTGAATTAATGACTTCTGACTTTTCAACCGCGGGTGCCTCACACTACTAGACCGGAAACTCACCTGCCCACCATGTTAGAAGAAGAACAAGTCTCTACTGAGAAATTCTTCCTAGTCCTAGTCAAACTTCTGCTAACTTCAAATTAAAGAACACCTATCTTTATCTTTCTGAGTCACATACATATATATATATATATATGCCACTGCTACCCAAGAACCAATCCATTACTCATCAAGCTCTCATCTTTGAGCTCGAGCTAGCCTAAGCCTAACAACAATGGCGGCGACTCTAGCAGAAACCCGCCGCAGCACGCTGCGTTTCAGCAGGAGATCCGACTGCTACGAGCCCCTGGATCAAGTCCAAAGGGAAGAAGAGCAGGAAGAAGAAGACGAAGGCCGGAGAAGCTGGGGAACTGTTTCCAAGAAACAGATGATGAGGAGCCGTGGCAGCAGCAGGGGAGCTCTGGGGTGGAGCTCCCTGAGCTACAGGCGGGAGAGGGCGAGGCGGCGACTGGTTTTCCTGCAGAGCTACAAGCTGCAGCAGGAGCCCAGGACGAGGTCGGAGAAGTTGAGGAAAGTGGTCGCGGGAGCGGTGAAGTCGGCTTTGGTCTCCATTGCTAGTTTTAGGAGGATGGGGAGCTGTGGTTCTAAGTCTTCTGCTTCTGCTCAAGTTATTAGGTGTTGCTGAAGGATTTCAGTTTATGTTGCTTGGGACACTGATTTCAAGTTATTTGTATTTTCATCTAGAGATCAAAATATTGTTAGAATGCAATTCTTATAGAGGAGAGTCCAAAAAAGAAAGTCTAGTTTCAATTTTGTCAATTTAAACTAATTTTTCATATCAATTCTTTGTATTTTTTATGCTTATTTACTCCGTATTAAATTAATAAAATGTATCAGATTCTCTTTTAAAAAAAATTTGTAATAACAACCCAAAAAAGAACAAGCTTTAGCGTCACAATTAGCAAGGTTGGCCATTCTAAGGAGGAAGAGAGAGGGATCTTCATATTCTTCTTCTCTCTTTCTCTCCCCCTTTGTATAATAAAAAAGCCCCAATACAATTTCTGGGAATTGATTTCCTTTCTATCCGGCAATTTCTGGGATCTTTTAGAGGCAAATTAGTCTGCTAGGGGCAGGTCACACAATGGCCATTGGGTTGCATATTTTACCAACAACCACTTCAAGAAAACGCGCCGGCAAGAAACAGGTAATCCATTTTTTGATGAATTGCAGGGGTTGATCAACCATGTTCGGCACGCATGCATTTGTAATAATTCTGAATGAATGTATCGTAAAAAAAACTTACGTAGGTTGGAAAGGCGCGCCCATGGCATGATGATGATGGTGATGAGAGTGAAGATCACAATGCGAAAAGTGACCCAGTATCCCCTCCAAATCCAGGTCCTGTTGGAATGCATAGAGGGATTCCATTGCGCTCTCTCTCAACCAACCTTCCCCTCCTCCTGCCTTCAAAGCCTCTTCGCTTGGCGCATCTGTCAAAAAGCCCACCTCCCAAACAAGCGGCAATGGCCCCGCCTCCCCCACCTCCACCAAAGGGCCTCAAAACCAAGAAGGCCATTGGAAAATTGAAAAGATCAATTCGTATGGTCACGTGGTACCAAACACTCAAGAGGAAGTTGGAGGGGCATATCCAACAGGTGGTGAGAAATGTAGTGGGAAAGAAAACTATTGTCGGCGGGGCCCCCTCTAGCGACAAACACGGATTGGACAAAGCAATTGAGGAGATGATGAAGAGGTCGTCGTATTTTCAGCGTATAGAAGAAGATGTCAATAAACACCATCAAGAAATCATTGAGCTTATGAAAGCCATCAATTCCTTTCAAGCGAAGGACATGTCAAAGCTCCTTCATTTTCACAAGGAAGTGGAGAAACATTTAGAGAAACTGACAGACGAATCTAAGGTGCTGACCAGGTTTGAAGATTTCCCTTTCAAGAAACTGGAATCGCTCAGGGAAGCAGCGGCATTGTACACGAAACTGGAAGAAACTATAGACACCTTGAAGAACTGGAAGGCGGAGCCTCCTCTTGGAGAGGTTCTTGATAAGGTTGAAAGATACTTCAACAAGGTAAAAAACTGTAAAGAAACATAACTTCTTTGATTCTTTAATCTGCACACAATATGGGTTTGAGATGAACATTGAATTTGTGAACCAGATTAAGAGAGAAATAGAAACAGTGGAAAGGAACAAAGAGGAAGACGCGAAGAAGTTTCGGGGCAACAATATCTCCTTCGACTTCAGCATCGTCGATCGGGTGAAGGAAGCCATGGTTGACATTTCTTCAAGCTGCATGGAACTCGCACTGAAGGTACTCTACATGAATGCCACCCACATTGCAAACATTGTAATTCTTAATGTACACCATTGGAGGAATTTCCACAAACAGCTTATGTGCATAAAGAATTTCTCATATAAATGGCTCGTACCCACTGCAGGAAAGGCGAGAAGGGATTGAGAAAAGAAGGAGAGGAAGTGTAAAGGTACTATGGAGGGCATTCCAGCTCGCATTTCGGATCTACAGCTTCGCAGGAGGGCAAGATGACCGGGCAGACAAGTTGACCGAGGAACTGGCTCAAGAAATAGAAACTTTTTGATTCAAAGATGGAATCTTTTTTTCGTGTGATTAGCCTTTTTCTTGTTCTTGTTCTTGTTCTTGTTCTTCTTTTTTGGTATAGAGTTTTAATGGAAACCTTAAACAAAAATCTACATAAATCTCTCATGACCATTACAACAAACACCTGAACTTGCAAGCCTTAATTCCCAAGAATTTAGGAAGTTAAACATAATGGGCTGACCTTAATTAACGCCCATGTTCGCACGCCGCGGCCACGTCTCCCTCAATCAGTTTGTTTCTGGCTAATTGGGTTACCAAACCCAACCCGTCCTCGCCATTTCAAGAATTGAAATCCCAATTGGATAACCTCCTCCTTCGATTGACTCCATCCGAAATCTGCCCAGCAGCTCCTTTGCAATACTGTTTTTTTATTAACAAAATTAATAAATGATTAAAAAAATGATCAAAATTTGGTTATTGTGAAACCCACCATCGTGAAATAACTACCCAGTAAAAGGAAACATATATACTCTGTATAAATGAACTAAACAGTGAGACCCAAATGGGATCATCACTTCATTTCTTTCAAAGAACACCTTCGAATTGACCACTTCAAGAAGGATTATAAACCCAGAGTTTCGCTGCATGGCTGCCATCTTCCTTAATCTCTTTGGCTGGAGAAAAGCTTCCAAATGGTAATTTCATTTTACAAAGTTCAACTAATGTTTTTTTTTTCACTCTGTTTTTTTCATGAAATACTTACTGCGAGTAAATTGAGTTTTTACAGCAAGAAAATGATAGGAAGAGTGCAGTGCAGACTGAAGCTGGTGAAGAACAAGAGAAGTTGCATTGCAAGGCAGTTAAGGGAGGATTTGGCTGAGCTTCTCCGAAATGGCCATCACCCCCTCGTTCTTGATAGGGTAAAAAAATAAATTTTACTGTAATTAAATAATTACCCATTGATTACAGGTTGTTTACTTATATGTAGGGTATGAAGTGAACTAGCATTAATTAATTAATTAATTAATGTACAAATTTCAGGTTGAACACTTGTTTATGGATGAAAATCTGGTGGCAGCATACGACATTTTGGACCATTATTGTGAATTCATCGTCATTAATCTTCCCTACATCCGCAGACACAAGTAAGCGTTCATATATTACTCTCAAAAAAATCATTTTTTTTAAAAAAAATTGAGTGTTTTTTTCATGTATCAGAGACTGTCCGAATGAGATAAACGAAGCGGTGTCTACGTTGATATACTCATCAGCGAGACTGGGCGACCTACCGGAGCTTCGGGCAATAAGAAAGCTCTTCGCCGGACGATATGGCCAGAGATTCGTGAATGTGGCTCTCCATCTCCTCCCCGGCAATCTTGTAGATACCCAGGTTCATTTCGAAATCTTTTTTTTTGTTTTTTTCTATATTTTTATTACTAAATACTAACGAACGAAAGAACTCTTTATTAATTATTGGAAATAGGTTAAAGATTGTTTATCCACAAAGTGTGTAACAGAAGAAGTGAAGCATAGATTGGTGGAGGAAATCTCTAGGAGCTGCTTTCAGCATGGTCCTCCATTGCTCCTCGGTTACACTTCTGAGGGGCAAAAACAGGTAAATAATATTCATTCTGTCTCACAAAGATCTTTCGTTTTAAAAGCAGTGACTGCTCTATTTTCTTGATTATGGTCATGGAAATGACAGGTGTCGTCCCCGAGGAATGAAAAGAAGGAAATGGTGGACGAGATTACGGAGTTTGAAAGTAGGAGCATGGATCCGTACATGCAAGATCAAAGATTTTTCGTCTTCAACTCGCCGCCTAGTCGCTTTCTCGCCTTGATACTTTTCAAGAAATCCATTGATGGGGAAGATGACAAAGAAGAAGAAGAAGAAAAGATTGAAAGTTTTTGGAGTTTGAATGAGGAAGAGGATGATCAAAGGGAAATAAAATGCACACACAAAATGATGATGAGTGACAAGAAGAATGAGAGAAATGGGCCGCCATATGTGAAGGCCGCCAATGAGAGGAAGCCCATTAATGAGAGCGTACTGGACCGTATTTCCCGGTCCATTTCGTTCCCGGACCATGTCCATCCTAAGCTGCCCGACTACGAAGAAATATCAGCCAAATTCATGGCGCTCAAGAGAGAGATAATTCAAAATACAGGCCGCCACAATACTCCTTAATTATTTTCCCTTAAAAAAAATACTCCTTGATTATTTTTTGATCATCATTTTAATTACTCCGTACATTCCTTTTCATTGAGAAACACGCATTTACCCCCAAACTCTTTACAAATTACATTGTTTACTCTTAAATATTAAAAATTACACTGTTTGTCTTCGAACTTTCCAAAAATTGTACTTTCTCTATTCTGTTTTAAAGTGCATGTTTTCCTTTTTTGTCCGTCCCAAGATAAGTTATTTGTTTCTTGTTATAGCAAACTTTTAAGAGTAAAATGCTTAAACTACCCCTAAAATAAGTTACTCTTTTCCATCTTATCTTCTCAATCATCGTCACCCCCTCCTAAAGAGTAATGACAAATTTGGAAAATCAACTCTATTTTTTCTCTTTCTTAAATATGTCTCAAAGTCAAAAACGGTTATTTAAAACAAGACGGTGGGAGTATGATTTACCCTGAATATTAAAAAGTGCATCAAGTAGTCCTGAACAATTTAAAACTTTGCACCATTGGTTCTAAAATGCTAGATATGGAGTGTATTTTTCTCATGCACAGGAATTGTGAGTATGATTAATCTGGCTCTTATGAATTCTCCAAAGTACACTTCCCCAAAATTATCATTTTTAATTAAATGTTCAGGGGTAAAGTTGGTAATTCTCGAAAAGTTCAGTGGTATTTGGTGCACTTTTTAATGTTCAGAGACAAACCCTGCAATTTTTAAAAAATTCAAAAGTATATGGTGCATTTTTTTAGTGTAGGGATAAACCGTTCAATTCCCGAAGAATTCAGGGATAAACGGAAAACTTTTCTCCTTTTTCATTTGATGCAATAATAGAATTTAAGATGGGATAATGGTTACTAGATTGGGTCATAAGAGACATAATTTGAATCACATTAAAAGATTGAATTTAATCGATTATTTAGTTCAAGTCAAGAACATATATACATACTCCGTATTATTTTCTTCTTATTTTTCTGATGTAAGATAGTCTTTAACAAAGGATTAAGAGGATATGAGTAATTCTTTAGTTTATACGGAGTACTTCGTAAGGTTATTAGTAGCTCTCCATCATCACTCTCTCCAAATCAATAGTCACTCACTATCATATCAACGCTAACTTTTTCTTTGTTCTGTTTTTTTCTCTTTTACTTTTTTATAGAAATATTGTAAAATAATAATACTTTGAAAGGAAAAATATAAACAGACATAATTTATACTCCCTCCGTCTCCAATTATATTACAATTTTTTTTTCTCTCATCTCGATAACCTTTGTTTGTTTACGTAATTTCATTAAGTATTTGATAAAATAAAATATTTTTGACACCTCTTGTTTTGTAGAACTTTTGACAAAAATTTTTAATATATAATTTTTATTTCTCATCGATATGCCAATTTATAAATAAAATAATTTGAAAAATGAGATATTTCTCTCCGTATACCGCAATTTGTAATCAAATTGGGGACGGAGAGAGTATTTAAAGTGCTTTTCGTTCCATAAAATAAAAATAAACATAGTTCGTTCATTTCAAGACAGTTTGGCCGAACATATATGTGAGGCATAACGTCAAAACTATATATGGAGTTTGGTGTCATTAGGTAGATATAATTCTAATGACATATTTTTTTGTCAATTAATAACTTATGTACAAAAAATTATGACCAAAAGAGACATTGGCTCCGTCTGGAATTTAGCTGTTGGCTAATAGCTGTTCGCGTTGGGTGGTTTGACCAATCAATTATATTGGCTGTTGATAAGAAATTGTTTGGCAAACTTAGCCTTTTTAAAATAGCTTTTATATTCTTTCCTTCATCAAATAAAATTTTAAGCTACTCCGTATATATTGTTCTAAAGTCATTATGATTTTATTTACTTATGTATTTTTATCGATTAATTGATGGAGTAATATAATTATACGGAGTATCATATTTTGTTTCAAAAAATTCTTCATGTACTTCTTAAATACGGAGTATATAATTTGTTTATTTCTAAACCAAATTCTCAAAAAAATCAGAAAACAATATTTTTCTCTCACAAATCAATTCACGAAGTTTACACGGAGAAGGACTATTTATTTATTTATATATTATTTACTTATCTATTTATTTAGTTATTAATTGATTGATTGATTTATTTATTTATATATCAATTTTTTATTTATATATTTATTTATTTATCACGCGTAAGAAAAAATAATAGTTTAATGTTCTTTCTTTGGTCACGCGTAAGATACATTGTTTTATTATTTTTATTTATTAGGGAGTAACAAAAGCTAAAAGCCGTTGTTGAATTGGTCCACCGAAAGTGGGAGTCACAAAAGTAAATAATTCCATTATACTTTTGATTTTTATCATTACATTCCCCTGCCCACCCAAAAGTCATACTTTCCGTTTTTGTCAAAAAAAAATGTATCCATGAAATAGCTCCCCATGGGTAGCTCAGTTGGTCAAGAGCGTGAAATCTTGGACCGATGACCAGGGATCGAATCCCGCAAGCGGCAGTGTGGGAGGTATCCAAAAATCCCATAAAGGGTGAGGAGGCTCCTTGTGCGCGGTGGGCACAGGTCTAGCGTTCTTGGCCGACTGAGTCACCATGATTTACATCCTCCACCATTCCTGTCGGGCAAGGGGTGGGGGCGCCTGGGGTGGGCGATTCACTTTTTTGGACCGATGAAATAGCTCCCCATTTACCACGCGTTTCCTAATTTAAGTGTGGGTCCTAAATCCTCACTCATCATTATTCTACTCCGTATTAGAGAAAAAAGATTGAATTCTCATATAAATTTGATATAATTTTATATCAATTCAATGGGTTTAATTTGGAATGTAATTTTAAAATATTACACTTTTATTAAGTATATTAATCTATAAATAAAAATATCAATGACTAAAGTATGATATAAATGGAATATTAAAAAACATGAAATGTCAAATAAAAAAATCAAAGAAAAACGATGAGAGCACTCTTTATTTTATTAAACTAATAGAGTATTATTTTAAGATGTGCACCCTTTGTCTCTATTTTAATTACAAAAGGAGAATTACAATGTAAAATCTCTCGATTTTTGAAATCATTTTATTTATGAATTGATACATCAATAAGAAATAAAAATTACATATTAAAAAATTACGTCCAAAATTCTACAAATAAGAGGTGATAAGAATATTTTATTTTTATCAAATAATCAATGAAAAGACACAAATGAACAAAGGTTGTCGAGAAGAGAAAAAAAATAAAATTACACTCTCTCCGTCCCAGTTTTGATTATGAATTGGGAATTATGAGGTAAAATCTCACGACTTTAGAAATCGTTTTATTTATAAATTGGTACATCAATAAAAAGAAGTTACATATAAAAAAATTACGTCTAAAATTCTACAAACAAGAAGTGACAAAAATATTTTATTTTATCAAATAATCAATGAAAACACACAAACAAATAAAGGTTATCGAGAAGAGAAAAAAAATTATACTCCCTCCGTCCTAGTTTTGATTACAAATTATGAATTATGAGGTAAAATCTCACGACTTTTAAAATTGTTTTATTTATAAATTGTAACATCAATAAAAAATAAAAATTACATATTAAAAAGTTACGTCCAAAATTTACAAATAATAGGTGACAAAAATATTTTATTTTATCAAATAATCAATGGAAACAGACAAAGAATAAAATTTATCGAGAGGAGAGAAAAAATAAAATGGTAATTAAAACGGGAAGGCAGGAAATATTAAAAATGAGGACGAAGAGTAAAGGAATGTAATTATATATGGGCAAGGTTCCCATGACATTGGTTCCCAATGTCATGGGAACCAAGGTGATTATATATTGTTCGTATATGCTTACTTTTTCCAACTTTGTCATCAAGCGTAACATTATCATTATTAGGATTCTAAACCAACCGAATCGAAGCAAATATCATCATATTTGAATTTGTATTTCATTAATATTTTAGAATATGAATTCGAATATGAATATAAAACGAATTAAAAATAAAAATTTTATTTGTATTTGATTAATATTCAAATAGTTAACGAGTCGTAAACAAATATTTAGATACTCATACTCTGTAATTTATATGTCGATTTTGAATAATTTAATTTACAATATTTCTTATACCATATCTAAAAATATTAATACATATGTGTCTTACAGAAATTATATTTTATAAAATATAACTATCAAAAATTGCATGCTTTAAATTTTTGTATTATGTTAATATCATGAAATCTTAGTAATTTAAATGTATTTTATATTATACTACTCCCTCCGTCCCTAAATAAACTTCCCTTTTTGACTTTTTGAGGATTTAAGAAAGAGATATTTTTGTGTTGACTTTCCAATAATACCCTTGATGTGATGTGTAAAAGTAAGATGTGATTTGTAGATTATTAGTAAATAGGTATGATGTGATAGGTAGAGTATGAAAAAGTAAGGGGTAAAAGAGATTTTTTAAGGGAAAAGAGAAGTTTATTTGGGGACAAAGAAAAAACGAAAGAGGAAGTTTATTTAGGGATGAAGGATGTAGTTTGTTTGATTACTGATGTTCAAAACATGGTTTGTGTATATAAATATATTCGAATATCATCTGAATCGAATACACCTCTATTTGTATTTGTATTTGTTTAATATTCGAATCAAAACTAATACGGAGTATTTGAATTTGAATTTGTATTTGAATAATGCGAGTTCGAATCATCATATTCGAATACGAATCACGAATCGAATTTAAAATATTTGATTTGTTTACGTTCTTACTTTTTTTTAAATACTCGTATAAGTAAGGTTAACACGATCTAGAAAACATGCTTCATCCTCAGATTGTTTTTAATTAAACATAAGAGTGTATTTTTAATTTTCATACATTCGGTTCTAGACCCTAGACTCCAATATAATTTTTAATGCTTGGACATTTTTGCACAAGATCAAAATTATGACAGAAAAATGTACTCCTTTTGTTGGAGTTCCCACATCGGAAAATAAAGATGAGTATCACTTGCATATATTGAAGGATGAAACCCTACCTATCAGCTTAAGCTTTTGGGTTAGAATTGTGGATCCCGACTTTATATGCAAGTGGTTAATTTCACCCGACACTCTATCCGTTGTTATCGGCCCGCCGGAATTTTAACATGGTATCGGAGCAGGTCCGGTCCGGGTTTGATTGTTCCTGGTTGTTTGGATGTGGGTTTAGCAAAAATGAGCTACCCCGTCTGTGGTTTGGGCTGAGTTGGCTAAAAAGAGATTGAGATGACACCGCCCGTTGTGTGGGCTAGCTATAAGAGATTGAGATGCTAGACCCGTTTGTCCAAGTGCTAACTAGGCCAGGCTAGTTACCACTTGCGGGGGAGTGTTGGAGTTCCCACATCGGAAAATAAAGATGAGTATCACTTGCATATATTGAAGGGTGAAGCCCTACCTATCAGCTTAAGCTTTTGGGTTAGAATTGTGGATCCCGACTTTATATGCAAGTGGTTAATTTCACCCGACACTCTATCCGTTGTTATCGGCCCGCCGGAATTTTAACACCTTTCCTTGAAAAATTTCTTTCCTGTTTGACTTGACACCAAGGTGCATTCTCACCTGAACCGGCCCTATATATATATATATATATATATATATATATATATATATATATATATATATATATATATATATATATATATATTACTACATCCGTCATAGTGTATTAAAAGTTGCATGCTCGACAACCTTGTTGTTGTCTTTTTGGAAAACTTTTATGGGCGGATATGTTAGTGTTTAGCCCGAGTGTATATATGAGCAAAATTTTGACTCAGCTCGACCTAAATTTGGCCTGATTTCATGTTTGTGCATGTCTAAATTATTAAGATATGCCAAACTTAAAAGAATTATTAAGATATGCCAAACTTAAAATAACAATTATTTTTTTCAAGCATTCCCTAATTAAAGAAAAGTGTAAAAAAGAATTTGAGACGGAGAGGGCAACGAGCATTTTTACTCTGTAAGTCATACTTCTACACAAGAGTCTAGACTCTATATATATAGACACTATGCATGGCTTGTTCTATTCACTTTATTTTATTGATTTTGATCTAATTTGAATAAATTTTAATTTAATTCAAATAAGTTTTAATCTAATTAAAATAAAATTTGATTTGACTATAATTACATTTAAATTTATTTTTAATCTCATTCAGCGTGACATCATTTAACATGATTTTAATAAGAATAAGTAATAAAAGCAATTTAAATGAAGATAAACTCATGTCTATATCTATCTCACTATTTCTTAATGATCTTAACTAGCCCGTGATCTCAACGTCCCAATCCCGTTTTTGACAGGTTTTTCCATTGATTTGATCAGGAGTTTCACGCGAAAATGACATCACCGGAGGAACGCCGGAAACTGAAGGCGGCGGTGACGGAGCAAACAGATTCCAACAGACAAGACGCCGATCCTCTCGGTGACATCAGGCGGCAATGGATTTCAGCAGATTCCACTTCCGATAGACCTCTCAAGAAGTTCAAAAATCCCGACCCCAAATCTTATGTTCATAACACGGCGGCCAATCTTCCGGCGTTGACTGCTTCGAATCCGGCATTTCCTCTCGCTCCGGGAGGAGCAGAGCGGTTTCAATCGGAAATGGTGATGAGATCGTTGGCGTACATGAGGTCGATTCCGCCTTACCCCAGCGGCTTCTCGTACCAAACGCCGGCGATCCCTTATTTTCCCGGCGACCTGCGGCAGGGGAATCTTTCTCGGACGCCTTCGGCGAAAGTGTACAGGGGAGTGAGGCAGAGGCACTGGGGGAAATGGGTGGCGGAGATTCGCCTCCCGAGGAACAGGGCTCGCCTCTGGCTCGGCACCTTCGACACCGCCGAGGAGGCCGCCATGGCCTACGACCGCGAGGCGTATAAGCAGAGAGGCCAGAGCGCCCGCCTCAATTTCCCCCACCTCTTTCTCGCCGGAGAAGACAACAAAGATGCGTCGTCATCATCCGCCGCCGTGGTTCCCACTTTGTGTGAGAACAACGCTATGGTGGTGCCGCCGGCGGTGGTACAGCCGCGTCCCCTGCCTTCGCCGGTGGAGCCAGCAACCGATGAATCAATGTGGGGAGGAATGAATCAAGAATGGGTGAACGGAAGTGTTTGGGCTCCAGGAAATCCAGTTATGAATGATTTTTATATTTCCAAATAACAATATTTTTTCTTATAATTTATTTTGATTTGTTTAAAATGAATGCTTAAGATTTCATATTCCTCAAAAACCACACCCTTAGATTGTGTTTTTGTTATTTTCTTTAACTTTTTTTTTCTGTTGCCGAGTGCCATCTATAAGTGTAGCATTTCTATAATGATAGGAGCTTCTGGGTATGTTTCGGAATGACGTTAGAAATTTGCGTTAGCGTTTATAAAAGATTATCTACGGACATTGTTTAACGTTATCGTTTTCTCAATAATCTGCACCGTTAATATTTTATCCAACATGCTAACGCTAATCTCTAATGTTATTCTCAAGGAGGCCCACTAACTACAATTAGTGTTTCTGTTTAATGGTCGGATAACTTTGTATTAATGATACTACCATTTTAAGATCAAAGAAAGACAAACATTGCACCGTCCCATCACTCTTAGGATCCGTTTGGTATACGAATTGATTTAGGGTCCGTTTGGTATACAAAAAATGAATTAGAATTGAATTAGAGTTAAAATTTTATGGAATTCAATCCGATAGAATTAGTTCACCAATTCCAATTCATTTTTTGCACTATCAATTCTAAATCCACATGTTTTTTGTGTTACCAAACACCATAATTAGAATTAAAATCTTCATTTCTAATTCCATAGTTTGAAATCTGTGTATCAAACGTGCCTTAGACTCTTTTGAAGGAGTATGTGTCATATATAGAGAATAGAGATGATTCTACTATCTCTTTCTCTATGAGTGTCCCTTCGCCCATTTCTTAATTTCTTGAGTAGAATATGAAGAACCCATTATTATTTGCAGGGGCGGAGGAAGGGGGGCACGCTTGGGCAAGTGCCCCCCAGCGAAATTCTGGCGAACTAGTGTTAGTGTACCCGATCGGCGATGGGAGGCCGGATTTGCCCCCCCTAATTGTCGCAGCGACGCAGGTATGCTCCAGGAGTTCACAGCCGATCGAAGAAGATAAGAAGAAGAAGCAGTTGCCGGAAAAAAATAGAAGCAAAACGACGTCGTTTCAATGATGGGTTTAAAAAAATTATTTTACCCTGCCAAATACTCGGCCCAACAGACAACAGCCCAATTGTCCAAAAAAAGGGAGTGGCGCATAGTCAGTAGCAGAAACGGCTCGGCAAAAGCATTAAGGATTCTTCTTCGTATCTTCGATCAAAGCAAACAACAGATACGGATTACGGAGCAATAGGCAAGTTTCGAAGGATTCTTGAATTCTTCTGTGCTTCTTCATCCAAACTTCCATTTTTTTCTCATTGTCTAGGTATATCTAAATTTTAATTATCTAATTTTGAAATTTGTTTCTTAATATTTGAAATTCTTGAATATTGCTTAATTGTCAATATTTAAATATTTGATAAATATTAATGTAATTTCAAGTTCTAGAGATTAAAGAAGATATGAAATTGTTGTTTTAAAGTTATTGAAAATTTTATTTTGTTACTTTAATATTGAATCAAGAAATTTTGAGACGTGAAATGGATAAATTTGTTATTAGACAAAAGAAGAATTTAGAATTTGTAAGTGATAGAGACAATGAAAAAGAAGCTTCTTCTTCTATAGAGAAAGAAAGTGTGGTTTCAAATGATGATATTATTGCTGATCCGGGATTACGAAAACCAATTAATAGTTTTCCATTGGAAATTAGAGATGTAATAAGGAGAAGATACTTAGCAAAAGGTCCTTGTAAGCCATTGATGGATAAATTTCCACAAAGTATGACGGGCAAGAACAAAAGACGATTTCAAAGTTATTGGTTTGATAAGTTTAAGTGGTTGGAGTATAGTGTTGCCAAGGATAGAGCATATTGTTTGCATTGTTATTTGTTTGCGAATACAAACAAAAATGGGTCAAAGGATTTTACAGAAGTTGGGTTTAACAACTGGAAAGATTGTCCAAAAGCATTTGTTGATCATGAAGGAACCAAAAAAAGTTCTCATTCTTATTGTAGAATTGAAGTTCAACAATATCTTAATCAAAGAGAAAACATAGATAATGTCTTTTCGACTAACACTGATGTCATCGAAGATGATTATCGTACTCGGTTAGCAACTATTGTAAAAGTGGCTTGATATCTTTTGGGGGAGGGCTTAGCTTTCAGGGGACATGATGAATCTCCCGAATCAATCCATCGAGGTAATTTTCTTGAGCTCATATCTTGGTTTTGTAAGACCAATGTAACTGCTGACAAAGTCATGCAAACAAATGCTCCTAAAAATAATCAAATGACTTCTCCTACTATTCAGAGAGATATTATTGAAATTTGTGCAATGGCAACGAGAAATGTCATATTGAATGATATAGGGGGAAAAAATTGTTCTTTTGATTGATGAAGCTCGAGATTGCTCTGTGAAAGAGCAAATGTCAGTGATTTTGAGATTTGTGAATGATAAAGGGGAGATTATAGAACGTTTTCTTGGATTAATTCATGTTGAGGAGACTTCTGTAAAGTTTCTTAAAAAATTAATTGATGAATTTTTTGCAAAACATGGATTGTCCCTTTCAAGACTAAGAGGTCAAGGTTATGATGGAACTTCAAACATGCGCGGTCAATTTAATGGGATGAAAACACTTATTCTTAATGAAAACAAGAATGCATACTACATTCATTGTTTTGCCCACCAACTTTAGTTAGTTATTGTTGCGGCTGCACAAGACAATGAGAGCGTATTTGATTTCTTTGAAAAGCTATTGATGATTGTTAATACAGTTGGATCCTCAGAATAATTTTCTCCTTCAAGTACACGAGGAGGAAACTTTGCATCGCATAAAAATAGGTGAATTGTCAACGGGTAGGGGGCAAAATCAAGCAACATCTTTAGCTCGGTCAGGTGATACACGTTGGGGCTCTCACTACAAAACTCTTGTTCTTCTCTTTGATATGTGGAATGATATTGGTACATTGCTAAATTCATTACACGAGCATGGTGAAACACCCAAAATTAAAAACAGTGCTTGTGGCATTCTTGATAAAATGGATTCTTTTGAGTTCGTTTTTATTGGAAAGTTTATGTTGAAAGTTCTAGGTATGACCAACACCTTATCAAAGATATTACAAGCACGAGATCAAAATATTGGTTGTGCTTTGAATATGATTGGTGCAGTAAAAAAGAACTTACAAGATTTTAGAGATCATGGTTGGGATGCCTTTTTGAAGAAAGTAAGTGAATTTTGTGAAGAACATGCAATTGATGTACCTAACATGGAAGATTATCTTCGTGGGCGATCAAGAAAGAAGATGAAAGGTGGTGAACCCATGACAAGTTATGTGCATTTTGGTGGAGAGATCTTTGCAAAGGTATATTACTCTTATTAAATTTAAATGTTGATATCATTTTTGGAAGTATTTTAATATCATAATATATTAAATAAGTTATTATTATTATAATTATTCTTTATTTGATTTTAGGTCATTGATATTCTTGCTGTGGAAATGGATAGACACTTTAAAGAGACAAACACAAATTTACTAAGATGTGTAATGTGTCTTGATCCTTCTAATTGCTTTGCGAGTTTTGATCAAGATCGACTATTGGAACTTGCTATATTATATTCAGAAGATTTTAGTTCTAGTGATCGAGTTGAGCTTATTCATGAACTTTAAAATTACATTTCTGATATGAGATCGAATGAAGTTTTTGCTAACATCTCCAATCTTGGAAGTCTTGCAAAGAAGATGGTGAGGATGAATTATCACACATATTTTCCTTTGGTATATCGGCTTATAGAATTGGCATTGATATTACCTGTTGGGACAGCTTCAGTGGAAAGAAGTTTTTCTGCGATGAATATTGTCAAGACTGATTTACGTAACCGTTTGGGAGATGAGCTTTTATCAGATTGTCTGTTGTGCTACTTTGAGGAAGAAATTTTTAGAAGCACTGATGATGAAGTTATTATGCAGCGCTTTCAAAAGTTGGCATCTCAAAAAAAATTTCTACGACCTCAAACAACTCTCGCTCCTTTACACAAATAGAAGGTATGTTTACTTGCACTTTGCCAATCAAGATACTTACTATTATACTATTATGTATTTTGTTCATTTATTAAATGAATTTTTGCCCCCCCCCCCCATGAAGTCTTCCCTAGCTCCGCCACTGATTATTCGTAATGATAAAAAGAGTAATAATGATAAGATCTGAATGGAATAGACTTGATCTAATCCCAATAAAAATAAATACTATGTAAAAAATAATATGAAGAGAATGCACCCTTAATCATCAAAAAATGTAAAACAGTGGGTTTGATAATCATTTTTTACTTAAAAGGAGTGAAAGTAATACGTTTCATCTGCATTTTTGGTCGAGTGAGCCTCAACCTCCATTAAAGTCACTAGAAAATATGATAGAGTGAACGTTTGTGCAAGGCTCTTCTCACCATGTACGATGCACTATTTTGACCATTGAAGTGTATTATACATTTATGCACTTTTGAGTAGGGTTGTTCAAAATTATTCGACCCGAAAAATCCGTCCATGATCCGATGTGATCCGTTCCAAATAATGGATATCCAAGCCGATTTTTTTGTTTTCGGATATTGGATCAGATATCCGAAAAATATCGGATCGGATATGGATTCAAATTCTAATATTTTTCGGATAATCGGATATCCAATTTTTTTTAACCCTAAGCCACTAATCCCACTATGCCTAATTCTACCCTTATCCATACCATCCTTCCGTTTCCACCTTAGAAGATCAATCGCCTTCTCTCGGTTGCGTGAAATAGCAGACGCCAGATTGCAAGGTTAATTAGTAGAAGCGATCCATGATAGGCTAATAGAAGACGCTATCTTCTTCAGTCTTCTTCGACCTCATCCCAATCTCAGATAAGAGTATAGCGCAGCAGAGATGCAGGCTTCCGATAACAACGCAGATGCAGCTGAAAGGTAAATTTTTTCTTTAATTTTGATTGTGTTGAAAACCTCATTTTCTAATATAACCGTGTTGATGAATTGACTGTAATTTAATTCAAATATATCTTCCCATGTTGGTTCTATGGCATATGTTAGTGACCAACTATGTTCTTTTTGTATGTCATTTTCTAGATAAGCATTATGTGAGTGATAATTACGAAATTGAATTGTGCTTTCTGCACCCGAGTTCAACAGATATGGCTTTAACTTTTTTTTCCAAATTCGATATGGCTTTAACTCTTTTTTTCCTTGTTCATCTTTAACATTTTGGCATTTAATTAATTTTATTTATGTAAACAGTAATGATGATGTCGAGAGCTTGAATGATGTTGAGAGGCATGCATCTGCACGTGCAAAGAGGAAAAAAGTCAAAAAAGTAAGTCTCTGTTACCCATCGATGCTCTTGTATCTCGTCATAATAGGAAGAAAAAATCTAAATGGTGGGTACATTATGATGATACATCTGATCCTGATGTCGCTATGTGTCAGCATTGTAAGACTTTAATTGGTTGTAAAGGGGTAAATGGGACTACACCTTTGAAAATTTATGTTGAGAGATGTAAAAAAATGGCTGCTAATATGGATTTCAAGCAAAAAATGTTAGAATTTCAGCCTCATACAATTGTTAGAGAAGATGGTACAATTGAAGTTATTAATATTCCAACGTTGCGGGAATTCGATCAAAAAGCCACTAGAAGAGCACTTGCTAGGATGGTTGTGGTTGACGAGTTGCCTTTCATCTTTGTTGAGCGTGAGGGTTTCCGTTCTTTTTGTAAAATCATGAATCCAGCATTTGTTATTCCTTCTCATTCCACTATAAGAAGAGATTGTTATGACTTGTTTATTGCGGAAAGGAAGAAGTTAATGGAGTTTTTCAAAACTATGTCTTCTACAATTTGTCTTACCACTGATACTTGGACTTCTGGGCAAAACTTGAGCTATATGTGCTTGACCGCACATTTCATTGATGAACATTGGAAGTTGCATAAAAGGATACTTAATTTTTGTCCTATTGCTGGCCATAGCGGGGAACTAATTGGTAGGGCAGTTAAAAAATGTTTGAAGGAATGGGGAATCAAGAAAGTTTTAACTGTGACAGTGGATAATGCTAGTTCAAATGATCTTGCTATTAAATATTTGAGAAGAAGAATGAATCAAAGTCAAACTAGTCTCTTTGATGGTAAGTACTTGCATATGAGATGTGTTGCACATATATTAAATTTGGTAGTAAAAGATGGATTAAAAGATGTTGATGCCTTTGTTGGTAAGGTGTATGGTGGTGTAAGATATGTTAGGTCTTCTCCCGCTAGACTTGAAAAATTTAGAGATTGTGCACATGAAGAGGGTTTATCAACTAAGAGTCTTGTGTGCTTGGATGTTTAGACAAGGTGGAACTCAACTTACTTGATGCTTTCGTCGGCTCTAAAATTTAGAGCGGCTTTTGCCAACTTGCACTCTCGTGATAATGCTTGTCTGAAAGAACTTAAAAAGAGTGGTGGTAAACAAGAAGAACATGATTGGAATAGACTTAATTTGTCTTTGCCTTTCTTGAAAATTTTTTATGATGCCACTTTAAGGATGTCGGGCTCTCGATATGTGACTGCAAATTCTTTTGTCATTGACGCATTTGGTGTTGGTTTGATTCTTTCTCAATATTGTGAGCATGAGGATGAAGGCATAAGAAACATGGCAAAACAAATGAAACTGAAGCATGACAAATATTGGGGAAACATCGAAAATCTCAATCTTTTGATATTTTTTGCTTTAGTGCTTGATCCAAGGCGAAAGATGGAGTATGTTAATTGGGTTGTGAAAAAAACATTTGGGTTACACACGGTACTCAATTGAGTACAACGATAGGTCTTGAATTGCATGAATTGTTTAAATACTATGCTTCTTCAACTCCTTCGCCACAAAATGCAAAGAAGGAATCAAATTCTTCAATTTCTTGTTCTAGATCTTATAATGTTGATGTTGGAAAAGGAAGTCAAGTCATGGATTTTGATGAACTTATGAATTCCGCATTTGACACTGATCGGGGTGGGGAAGACACTATTGCAAGGAAAAATGAATTGGAGAAGTACTTGGCGGATGATTTAGAGCCTAAGGATCCTCACTTTGACATCTTGCAATGGTGGAAGGATAGAAGAATGACATATCCTATTCTTCAACGCATAGCTCGAGATGTTCTTGCAATTCCTGTATCAACTGTTGCTTCGGAGTCCGCTTTTAGTACGGGTGAACGTGTTCTTGATTCTTTACGAACTTCTTTGACTCCTAAAATGGTGGAGGCACTTGTTTGTGCACAAGATTGGCTTCGAACTTCTCATAGTCCACTCATGATAGAGGAATGCTTGCTAAAGTTGGAGACTATGGAACAAGGTTTGGAATGTTTTTAAATATATTTATTTTAATGTTATTTACTTGATAATGATATAATTGTTATCTTTTTATTTTAATCGTAGGCATGGAAGATGTGATTGTGGAGCAACCAACAATAATTATTGATGAGTCATTGGATGTTATGGAAGATGAAGACCTTGAACTTGAATAGTTTGATATATATTATTATGGCTATATGTTTAATGCAATTTTGTGTTGGTATGGGAACTTTAGCATTTTGGACTTTTTGCATTAGCATTTTGGAATGTTTTGTTTGAGACTTTTAATAGTGCTTTTCTTTTTGTTTGTTTAGGCCATTACCTAGTGGTAGAATTTTCTTTTTAGCACAAATCTATGTTGAATTTGGTAGCAATTGTGGGTTGATTTTGACATTTTACCTTTTTGTAAATTGTCTCAAAAGTTAAACTTTTCGGATATTCCATTGATTCGATCCGAAAATTCGGATATCCGAATATTTTTGGATCGGATATGGAATGAGTTTTACTTGATCCGAAATTTTCGGATATCCGACATTACGGATCGGATCGATCCGATTAAGCACCCCTACTTTTGAGATATCATAGGAGTTCATGTGCATTTATGTCTAAAAATGGAAGTTAAAGATTACATAAAAAAAGAGTGCATTAGACGTATGAGTTGATAATTAATTACAAAAATAAAGAAAATATTTGGAATGCGTTATAGGCTGCGTTTGGAAAATGGCAGTTTGGCCAAAAATCAGTTGTTCTGACCGACAACGGCTGTTTGACTATTTTAACAGCTAAAGTTGATGTTTTGCAAATGGAGGTTACGGACGGCTGTTGAGTCTCCAAAAGCCAATTTTTGAAACGCTAGCCTCCTTAGCGTTTTAGTTTGGCAGTTGCTTTTATTACTTTTATGTCCTTATTTATAAAATGCCTTGTTGCAAATCTGATCTTGTGGTGGACACAAAAAAAATTATGCGTACAAAGAAAAGGAAAAAAAAGGTGTGGAGTTTGTATTTGCTTTTTTTAAGCAAGGGATGTACGAAGCATTATTTGTGTGTGGCTATTGAGCAAAGTAACATTATTTTTACCACTTTATACTTGAATATAAATATTTTGAATACGTTAAGTACAAAGTATGTATAGAGTAATTATTTATTTAAAGTTAGCTAAATAAATATATGAAGAAAAAGAATACTTAAATAAAAAATCTACTTATAAAATATAAATGTAAATTCTCATTTCTTAAATTAAAAAAAACGAAGTAGCCTTTTTTGTCCAACAAAAAAAATATATGTAAAGCATTTTCTTGTATAATGTGTGTATTTTATCAAATTAAAAAAAAATTAAAATCATACACAAATCAACATAAACGAAAGGATGTCCTTACATGTAATTTTACTCACAAACAGCTAATTATAAATAGCTAAAGTTGCCAAACATCTAATTTTTAACATCTAACAGAAACAGCCGGTCAAAACAGCTAATTCAATCAGCCATTCAAACCCGCCAACATAAACAGCTAACAGCCAACTGTCAACTGTCATTTTCCAAACAAGGCCATGATTACCTTCTGCATGTCGATTTAAATTAAAAATATGTTAAGAATGAAAAATAAAGTGCTTACATTTTAATCGGATAAATTATGAATAGTGTTTCAGATAAAAAAATAAAATTTTAAGGTTGATATAGTCAAAAACTTATATTTTAAAGATATTTCCAACGAATATAAATTTAATTATGAAATATGTACCTCAAGATTTTTTATTTTGTCTAAAACATTATTTTCTTTTATTTTTTATCCCTCGTAGATACCAACTTATACTTAATAATTTACAGTCACAATTTAAAATGTCACATATTTTGTAGTTGGCAGGCCGGAGTATTGATATAAAATTGAACAATTTCTCTGAGCAGCGGTGTAAATTATTCAATTCCAAAGTATTAACGTAAAATCAAAAATTTGTGTGAATTTTTCTAGTTTCAAAAAGATGTGGTTGTAATTTAACCTTTTTTTACGGAAAGGTACTAGTTAAACTGTTTTCAAAACTTAATTTGCGTATAAGACATGTATGCTATTATCCAGCTGTTGCTTGAAAGCTTCATAAATTCATTTTTTTTCTATTTGTTTTTAATCTGTCCCAAGTTTTACCCATACGGCAGAGTATATTTTTTATAAACAAAACTTGTGATGTATTCCGTATTTATTTCTTTAGAAAATTAATGTAAAATACTGAGTATTCTTTAAAATTAGCAACTTTATAGTTTATATACATCTAAAGTGCATTATATACATTTTAGTATTAGAAATTAATAAAATAAATAAGCTTGCGTGCATATACAAGTACTATTATTGATTCAAAATGCTAGAAATTCATCTAATTTGATATTGTAAATAATTTCTTTTTACACGTGCAATATTTATCGATGAGAAATATAATGATGTGTTTTTGGTGAGTTTGTAGCATAATTTTTGTTAATTCATTTAAGATTTTATCTTAAAATAGTAAAATACACAACTTTTATACAGAGGTTTTAGTGTTCTGCTACTCCTAAAGAAAACAGATTAAATTTCGGAGTATCTATTGAATAAAATTCAACCATTAAAGTCGAGTGAGTTAAATTAGCAAACATTTCTATCCCAAATTCCCAATGCGAGTTAAATCCGCAAACTATTTTGTAATAAAAGTTGAAGTCAATTGACGCGTATCAAGATGTCTCGGTGAAATCTTGTTTCATTTCATACACCGCATTTGACATTGATACAGAGATTGGACCCAAAGAACCCCCTTTTCCCCACCTCTCTGTTCATCTTTCTTGTGCCCAGATCTGGGAATTCAAATCCCCAACCTTTGGCAGGATCTTAATCCCTCGAAGGCTTCTGGGTTGGTTCAAACTTCAGGTTTTACAGCTGGGAATCCAATAAAGGAGCAGTCTTTGGGGGGGAAGAGATGGTGGGTCAACAAGAAAATGGGAATGTGGAAATGGGGATTTCTGATTATACATTGGGGAGAAAGAACAAATATAAGAGGATGGATGATTATGATGGAAGCAATGATGATGATGATGATGATGATGATCCTTCTCACCACCATCATCAGCTTGAGAGGAGGAGGAATAGAACTAAGAAATATGTCTTTGCTTGTGCTGTCTTTGCTTCCCTCAACAATGTCCTCCTTGGTTATGGTAAATTTATCATTTTTACCATAGTTCCATTCTATCACCTCATTGATACTTGATATTATAGGTTTTGATCTGTCTCAACCAAAAGCCTGATCTCATTGTTCTGGTTAATCTTTTATTGGAAATTGTGAATGTCTGAACCCGGGACAGATGAAAATAAAGAATAATAATGTCAACAACATCTTTAAGCAAGACTTGGATATATGAGCAGAACTTGGGGTTTTGTCCTCAAAGAAAAGAATACACGTAGGCTTCATATGTTGGTTTCCATTTTGACATTTGCTTCGATGCGAGAGTTAACACATTTTGAACAAGTAGAGTTACTATAGCGTGTGTTTTGATCTGCAGATGTGGGGGTCATGAGTGGAGCAATCATATTTATTCAAGAAGATCTAAAGATTACAGAGGTGCAAGAAGAAGTTCTAGTAGGCATTTTGAGCATTGTGTCACTCTTGGGTAGCTTAATTGGAGGAAGAACCTCAGACGCCGTTGGTAGAAAATGGACAATGGGTTTAGCCTCCATTATCTTCCAAGCCGGCGCAGCAATCATGGCTGTTGCTCCTTCATATAAAGTGCTCATGATTGGGAGATTCCTTGCTGGGATTGGAATCGGATTCGGTGTCATGATTGCCCCTGTCTATATAGCTGAGATCTCGCCAACCGTCGATAGAGGATCACTCACTTCTTTCCCTGAGATCTTCATAAATTTTGGAATCCTTCTTGGTTATGTCTCAAACTACGCGTTTTCTGGACTGTCCCCACACATAAACTGGCGCATAATGCTTGCCGTGGGAATTCTCCCCTCAGTTTTCATAGCCTTTGCTCTCTGTGTCATCCCAGAGTCTCCAAGATGGTTGGTTGTCCAGAACCGGATGGAAGAAGCCAAGGCTGTGCTTGTGAAAACAAACGACAATGACGCAGAAGTGGAAGAGAGACTTGCAGAGATTCAGCTGGCTGCTGGGAGTGGAACCACAAATGCTGATAAATATGATGAGAAATCAGTGTGGCGCGAGCTCTTGAACCCTCCTCCTCCTCTTGCCCGGATGCTCATCACCGGTTTTGGAATCCAGTGCTTCCAACAAATCACAGGTATTGTCAAGAACCAACTCAACCAGAAGCTCAAGTTTGTGGTTATAAGCACGGGAAATGTTTCATAAACCAAATCTTGCACGCAAACATTAATTCTTTTTTACATTAACAGGTATCGATGCGACGGTTTATTACAGCCCGGAAATCCTAAAAGCAGCGGGGATCGACGGGGAGACAAAACTCCTAGCTGCAACCGTCGCGGTGGGGATCACAAAGACAGCATTCATATTAATTGCCATATTTCTCATAGACAAAGTTGGGAGAAAGCCACTTCTCTATGCAAGCACAATAGGGATGACATTCTGCCTCTTTGGGTTGGGCTTCGCCCTCACGTTTCTGAACGGGTCCCTTGGGATCGTGCTTGCGACACTCTTGGTTTGTGGGAACGTCGCGTTCTTCTCAATCGGGCTGGGCCCGGTTTGTTGGGTTTTGACATCAGAAATATTTCCCCTCAAGTATAGGGCACAAGCCTCCGCAATGGGAGCCGTGGGCAATAGGGTGTGCAGTGGGGTGGTGGCCATGTCTTTCCTATCTGTCTCAAGGGCAATCACTGTGGGCGGGACCTTCTTCGTCTTCTCGGCAATCTCAGCATTCGCGGTTGCTTTCACATATGCACTCGTCCCGGAAACCAGAGGGAAATCTCTGGAGGAGATTGAGCTCTTGTTTCAGAACGGAGAGGAACGCGAAGGGCATTCTGGGGATGTTGAGCATCTTGTGCAGAGGGAAATGGAGCTCAGAGATGGGGTTGAATTGAAAGAGTGAGAGTTTCATAGACTATATAAATGATCCACAAGAACAGAGAGATATATTTTTTTGGCGCAGAAGAAAAATATGCAGCACAGAGTTTTCTACACGTGAGAATTTTTTACAAATGTAGACATGATATTCATAGATGATCAAAATTTTATACCAAATGTTGAAATGAAATTTTCTGGTAGGGTACAAACTACTTTGATTTTTTTAATCATCATTGAGCTTGTATTAGATTGCACTTATCTCTTCTATTAAAGTTGCAACAATTTTGGATTAACATTTGACAATAGACTTTTTGAGCATTAATATATGTGAAATTTGCAAAGTACTAAAACATACTCATGTCATTTCCCAATGTAGTACTTAAACTTTTTTATTTCGTAAATAGTACTTGAATAATGTCTAGTGCGGGAATAATGTCTAGTGATGGTGGACATTTAGTTTGAACAATATCCAGTGGCGGTGGACATTTACTTGAACAATAACCAGCGAGCAATGACCAACGGACAATGACCAGTGGTACAACATTGGAAAAAGAAAGCATATGGTACTATATGGGATAGTAACTATGTTTAATACTATTTAGGTACATTCATCTTAATATATTTATTTATTATCAGAAAATTTTACTCCGTAAAAAATTCAATATCATGAAAATTTATGTCTAGTTAATTAGTTGAATTCAAGGCATTATGTTACCTAATCCAATCTGCATTTAGATTTAGTTTCTAAAAAAATATGGTCCCATATCACCCTTTTGATACTCAAGTAGTAGGGACGGTAGGGTGCTACTTATTCTTATTACAATTTCAGTGCTTCTATAGTATATTTTGGGTGCATACCATTTTATACACCTCACATAAAAAATTTTATTTTTATTTTTTAATTAAAATAAATACTCATCAAGGTAATAAGAAATTGCTTATTATCCTATATGTAGGTCCATAGTAGATTTAAGTCTACCATAAAATTTGCCCAGTAAACAAAGATCTAGGTACAGGAACCTAGTAACTAGAGATTAGAATCTGAAATTTGAATAATTAAACTACGTTGTATAAAAAAATTAAAAAAAACATGCCTTATGTGGGAGAACTTATTCTAAAACCTGTTTTCTGAAGAAAAAAAAAGTACAGTATTAGTTGTACTCTGTACTGTATTAAACACAAACTTGTGTTGCACTAAGAATAAAAGCATAAGGGCAACCCCATCAAGAATAATGACAACAAAGATTGAATATAATGTTCACACCATACTAAATTTTGCAGATCAAGAAGTAGCAGTTTGCAGTCAAGATTACCATAGTGTTACACTATATATATATATAGACACACACACACACACACATTATCAGATAAATCAATCCTACACCCCGACCCAATGAAAGCGAGCCAAATGCCTGATCACACCATGTTCAATCATCTGCACTCACTTAATTGCCCCTCCATAGATTCTGTAATGTAAAGAACATTTTCCACTCGTCCGCTTGCCTAGAAAATACCAAAGCATGGGCAAGATAAGAGAGAAGTAGACAGCCGAACGGCTAAGCTCATTGGCATGAAACAGAAGGGCAAAGTAGAAACCATTATTTCCGGATATTCCAAGTATCGGCATTGGGTCCATGTACAGGGTTGCCAACAACATATGAAGTTTGAGGGACGTAGTTTTTCAACAAAGGAACTCTATCGGGAATGTAGTCATCGTCACTGTCATAGTATGTCTCGCGATGTGGTCTCAAAGCTTTGAGAATCATTGACAGTATAATGCTCAGTGCCTTCATGTGGATAAACCAAAATAAAAAAACAACCGGTAGGCGATTATGAAATTCATGCTAACGAAAAAAAGTGGGAAATGCCGAATTCACCCCGATTCTCTCCCCAACATTCTCACTGACATCCACATACACTGAACAGTGAGAAGGTGGGGTGCCCTAGGCACACATTCCTTAAGAATACAAGTTGAGAGGGAGAAATGTTCATTCTTTAAGAAAAGGAGGGTTTTTTATTTGTAATTACTTCTTTTTTTGGGGTGAGGAAGGGAGGGAGAGAGGGACCTGCACAGCGACCACTGACAAGCCAATCCATTTGCACAAGTCAAAGTGTTCTTTAACGAACTTTTTGATAACATCAAAGTTCCCAGTTGAATCATCCGGAAAGTCCTGCTCAGCAAATAGAAAATACTTGGTAAAATAACTGCGATTTTTGAATCTATCTATCCATCACAATGCTGGTTTCAAACTGAACAACAATATACAATGTGTAAAAATTATACTTCTTCCCAGTTTTTGTTTAAGAAAACATCTACAGTCACAGCAGCTTCCAACGCTACAAGTAGAAAGACAAACACCATGTACTAGAACAATTAAGGAAATCTCAAGTTGTTTTTCTCAAATCAGTGAGCAAGAAAGATATCCGGCTATACGTAGACTTATATTGGTGTCTCAAGAACAACAAACAAGATAAGAAATGCATGGGTCTTTCCAATGAGATCATATTTCAGAGGATACGATATACAGACAGCAGCCATTCACAGTTTCTGCAGCAATATGACCGGAGCAGGTGATGAAACACAGAGTGATACCCAGACCAAGAATGGTGTAAATGAACCTGGTGTTGAATGCAAAACAAAAAGTTTTTTATTAAAGGACATCATATATAAATATGAAAATTTCAATAGCAAGCAATATTTGTAACTGAGAGTATAAACTACAGATGCAAAATACATCAATCGTACTGAAATATCTATATGTTCAACAATATATACAGAGTACGTAACAAAGATCTCTTGAAGTAACAAGCTACTTAAAACTTCCAAACATGAAAGCTCAGCAAGAAATGCACTTGAGCAAACTATTTGACTGATTAGACCCAAAAAAAATCCCATCCTGAGGCTATTGTCCTTGAACAACATTCTTCTAAATAAACACTCCTGTTACCGAAATAAAGATTCCCCATTTCTTCAATCACAATCCAATTTCAGTTCCCAGAAAGGAAGGAAAGATAAGCCAACATCAAATACCCCAAGAAATGAATCAATGAGTGGTACACAGCAGACATCCAATTTTCAGGCAAAGACATCTCATTTAAACAAAAAGGAGCCATTTCCTCACAAACACATCAAGAGAAGAGAAGGAAAAAAAAGACAAATAACTTTCATTTTAATCTGAAATATTTTTACATACAAAGAAAGGACATGAAAAGGAGACGAGGACATGTACCAAGGAATAGGGGCATCTTCGGGTGGGAAAAAGGGAAGAGGGGAGGGTCCGGGCCGCCGTCCGGGCATATGCTTTTCCCAGACTCGGAACATCCAAAGGGAGTACATGATCATGGCGATCCCAGCCACCCCTAAGAGCAAGTTGACCACCTTCAGCAGGGACTGGACGCAGCTCCGAGCCAATCCCGTAGCCATTTCTTCCCTGCCAAAAGGTGCGGTTTTTTCAAGATGAAAGCAAAATTCCCTAACCTCTGGATCCAAATCCAAACCCAAATCAATTAGGGCTCCAGAGTACCCGCACCTGACCCGTTTCTCCCGGAGTTCAAATTTATAACCATATGAACGGACAACGGAGTACTGTCAAGCTGCTCATTTTATGATTGAAATAGTGATCCATAATAAGTACAATTAATAAACAAAACACAAATCTTGTCTCAAAGGAGTTGCTGTGGTGTAGTGGTTATCACGTTAGTCTTACACACTAAAGGTCTCCAGTTCGATCCTGGGCGACAACATTTTTTATTTTTTTGCCCCATGACCTAATGATGATCCAATGGCAAACTCTTTCACCTCAATTTCTATCTAGATTCAAATATTAATTTTTTTCTCGATTATTAAAGATTTATTGTTATGTAAGTGTGTTATTAATTTTAAGTCAAATTATAAGTCCTGATTAATGCACCTGACATTAGTGGGTGAATAACCGTGAATCAATGAATGAGAGCTTTATGCATATTGATACAAAGAGGTTCGAACCTGAGACTTTAAAAAAAATTATGAAGTCGTTTTAAACTTAGTTCAATAATCATTGATATCAAATGTGAAATTTTGAAAATGATACTCCTTTCATTCCTAAATTATCTTCTTTACTATTTGAGACTTTTGATACGTATCTGTTTTCATTCAATAAAATAAAATAGTATTGATCATGCTTATTTTATAAAGCTTTTTATTTAGTTTTAAACATGTAAAATATTTTTTTTAGTTTTATACAAGTAGTAACTTGTACTCCCACCGTCATAAAATGATTTACTTGTTTAGTATTACGATATATTGATATATTTTGTTTGTTTGTATGTTTTCATCGATTATTTGATAAAATAAGATATATTCTACTCTTCTTGTCTTGTAAAAAAAATTACTCCGTATGTCAATTCTATTTAATCATAATTTAAACAAAAATGCAAGGGATACACCAAATATTGCATCCCATTTGTACTCTCTCCTCTGTCTCCAGCACACAAATGCAAGAGATGAAAAAAAATTAAAATTAAAAAAAGAAATCAATGGTTAACCAATTTTTAAAAATTCATTTAAAAATTTTTAAACGAAAAAATTTAAAAATTCCTCTAATTTAAATATTCCCCGTGTCCCTGATTTAAATATTCCTCCAATTTTGTGGGTTGCTGATTTAGATGGGCGCAAAGAAGGCCTCGATCCTGAACCGTCTTGTCAACGTCAAGGTCGCCGCCACTAATCGCCTTGAACCGCCGCTACACGCCGAAGCTAAAGCGTTGACCACCGCTATCACCAACCACCTCCACTCTGGCAGCCTTGCAAAGGCCGTCTCAGTCCTCTTTGCCGCCCCATTCCCTTTCCCTTTCTCCCTCTACTCCGATCTCTTCAGAATATGTGCCTCAAAAAAAGCCATTGTCGAGGTTCGGAAAGTGGAATCCCACTTGGTCACCTTCTCCCCAGACCCGCCGGTTTTCCTGCTCAACCGAGCTATTGAGGCTTATGGAAAATGCAACCGCCTAAGGGATGCCCAGCAGTTGTTCGATGAAATGCCCCAGCGAGATGGAGGGTCCTGGAATGCAATGATTACTGCGTATTCACAAAATGGGCATGCTGAGAGTGCGTTGGAAATGTTTTTCCACATGCGTCTGTCTGGGGTTTGTGCGACTAAGATCACATTCGCAAGTGCTCTTGCATCCTGTGCTTCTCTCTTGAATGTATGGGTTTTGAGACGAGCCCATGCTCTGCTCGTGAAGTTTGGCTTCTCTGGGAATGTAATTCTTGAAACTTCACTTGTGGATGCGTATGGGAAATGCAAAGAGATGACTGATGCTAGAAGGATGTTTGATGAAATTGAGAACCCAAATAATATTTCATGGAATGTGATAATTAGAAGGTACATTGACTTTGGTGCGGGAAAGGATGCTTTGTTTATGTTTGCAGAGTTGGTGAGGAAAAGTGTGGCTCCTCTGACATTTACTGTATCCAATGCTCTTCTTGCATGCTTGACCATTGGTGGGTTCAATGAAGGGCTTCAAATTCATGGGTTTTCTATCAAGGTTAATGTTGAGATGGATAAGGTGGTTGCTAGTTCTCTTATTGATTTGTATAGGAAATGTGGGGATATGGTAAGTGCTCAGAGGATTTTTGATCTGCTGTGTTCAAAAGATTTGATTCATTGGACAACACTAATGTCAGGGTATGCGATGATTGGGAGAACAAGGGAGGCACGGGAACTCTTCAACAAGATGCCAGAACACAATGTGGTCTCATGGAATGCAATGCTTGCAGGCTATGTGCACAGTGGGGAATGGGATGAAGCTTTGCATCTTATCTTTCTCATGTCCAAACAGACCTGTGACATTGATGACATTACTCTTGGATTGGTCCTCAATGTTTCTGCTTCCCTTTCTGATGTTGGATTGGGGAAACAGGTTCATGGATTCATGTACAGAAATGGATTCCACTCCAATTTGCATGTTGCGAATGCGCTTCTTGACATGTATGGGAAATGTGGAAACTTGAGGAGGGCTATAACATGGTTTCATGAAATGGGTCAACGGAGGGATACCGTATCTTGGAATACTTTATTAACTTGTTATAATTCCCACGGGATGGGTGAAACAACACTGACTAGTTTCTCAAACATGCTCGGTGGGACGATACTCAGTAAATATACTTTTGGAACACTCTTGGATTCTTGTGCAAATACTTATGCTCTTAAATCAGGCAAAGAAATCCATGGATTTATCATTAGAAATGGTTATGAGATGGATACTGTGATCAGTGGAGCTTTGGTTAACTTGTACTCCAAATGTCGATGCCTTGATTATGCTCTAGATGTTTTTCTTGAAACACCACAAAAAGATTTGGTTCTGTGGAACTCTTTGCTGCTGGGATGTTATCATAATAAGAGGAGTGATTGTGTGTTTGAAATGTTTGAATTAATGAAGGACAAGGGAATTAAACCAGACTCTATATCATTCCAAGCTATATTTCTTGTGTGCATTCGTGAGGGTTGTGTACATGTAGGTAGGCAGTACTTCGATTTAATGAATGATCAATATAGCATTACCCCTACGTTGGAGCATTATGAATCCATGATTGAGCTGTTTGGTCGGCATAAAGCCTTCAATGAACTTGATGGTTTCATCAAGGAGTTGCCTTTTTCTCCCACTCCAAAGATGTTAGAGAGAGTTCTCCATTTTTGCAAAGAGCATAATAATGTCAAGTTGGAAAAATGGGCTACTAACCAACTACAGCAACAGAATTCATAGAACTATTTGTTCTGAAATTGTGTAAGATGCTTAACTGCACTGCCCTCTAAGAGCCTAGTAGTAAAAATTGCTCAATATTCAGTATGAGATTAAGGAAGTCTCTGTGCTGGGATTGATGCATTGCTTGAAAATAGTTTGGCATCACAGATTTGCATCTGGAGATCATTTGCAATTCAAGAAAGCTGCAAGGCATAAGGATTTGTTCTACATTCTGTTCAATGCCCCTTTTCCTGTGACCAACCATTCGGCGGATTTTTCACAGTATCGCTAAATGCATATATGCATGTTTGTATTTTATGTGGTTGAAGATCCTTTGCCGAAAGTTCCATTAGATACTGCGCTAATATCTCAGTGGTTAGCTACAGGAGTGCAGCCTGCTTTTCCTGAAAACCCTCCTCAAGAAGGTAGAGCTAAAATATTGCATATAATTTTCTTCTAAATCAGTGTTGTATCTATCATTGAGATTCATTCATACTGATGCTTTTTTTTAATCTTGCAGCACTCCAGGACAATAGATGAATGGAATATGAAGAAGATGAAGGTTCAGTTGACCTCAAGTTACCTGTAAAGCATGTTTTTATCCCATGAACTTCAGGTATTGTTGAAACTTGTTGATCGAAAGACCTTTGATGTATCGCTGTATCTATTTTGTCAAAAACTTCATAGAAATAAATTTAGTGGGGGGAAGTTTGACGTGCCACTGATTTTCAAAACCGGCATTTTGTGAAGCTTGGCGAGTGCATGGTGCTATGGCGGTATTGTTAAAGCTGGTGTTGGTTACCAAAAGTCTCAAAAGCTCATGCTTGGGAGGAGGAAAGCACCGACATTGCACCCTTCAATGCCTTCTCGAATTGACCATTTTGGTGACATCTTCTCCATGTTAGTTGATCGATTAAAAAAATATCATTGCAAGTTCAGTCACGAGTTACCTGGGCATAACATCCAACTTCACCGTTTCCTGCCCTCTCACTAATCGTTCTCCCTTGCAAGTCTTGCAGAGGATCTGCTCTCCAGAGGAAGAGGTCGGTCTTCGGCCAGTGTCAACGAAACCTTGCCGATTTTAGTATTTTGCATCAAATTCATCTTCGATTTCTCCCAGTATTCTGTAATGTAGTATATATGTTCTCTTATTTACCTTCTGCTCAAAAAGTTATATTTAAAAAGCTGGAATATGTAGTGCTGTTTGTTGGATAATGTGGACAAAGGAACTCAAGTTACATTCATTCAAAGAAAATCATATACTGAAGATAAGTTGATTTCTCCCCCTTGACAAAAAACGAAGTTTCAAGCAAATCGGGAGTATACGAATCTTGTTTATTCACCATATTTGTCCCTGTTAGTACAATTATTAAAATATAACGGGCGAAATGTGTAACTTGATGTACGATATTTGAGATGACATGAAGGAGTACAAAATGGAAATTTTAAAACTTTAATAACTCTAAATTTGGTAGTGTAAGAATTTAACGAGACGATAAAAAATGGCGAGTGTAAAGAATCCTATTTAGAAAAATACTATTTGTACACCACTTTTGACACCGTCTTTTTCTCACAAACACTACAAATATTCGGTAAGGGTGATGTTAAAAGTAGTTGCTCTCGCATATGCACTTGGAAAGTAGATGCAATGCATTTTGGAACAGACAAGAACCCGAAGTGCATCTCAGAGATGTTGAGCATCTCGTGTGGATGAAAACACAACTCAAAAATATACGAAATGCGAACTTAGTACAAAAACGAATATGTAGCAAAGAATTTAAGCACAAAAGACAAAGCGCAACAATCAAAGGAAGCCATAATGCCAGCACCATCTTCAACAAGCCCGACTCAAGTACCTCTGACTTAAATACTCTTCACCACTTGGAATCACGTCTCTAACATCTCTTGTCTTGAGCCAAGAGAAAAAGCTTCCCGAACCGCTATCACCTCAGCTAACCCAGTATCATGCGGACAACAAAGGGGGCCAAAGATTGAAAGCTTCTATTAGAATCCAAAAGTAGACTCCCAAAACTCACTTTGTTCACATCTGGGCATTCTGGTGCGTGGCGTGCATAAAGTAAATGTATCAAGTAACAGAGCTAGTCTAATGGCCATGGACAAAACATCTATAGCTTCTTCTGAGTAGTTCAAAACATCAAACATCAAGTGCTAATCGTATCCACATCCTCTTGCAAGGCCAATGTGAGAGGGGGATCTTACCAGTCACGAGCTTTCTTCTTCTACTGCAAAAAAGATTCCGTTATCTTCATAACAAAAATAAACAAAAGAGACAAGTATTCCTTGCTCCAATTTTATTCATCGAGATGAACGCAACCTTACTTCTGTTTAAAAACAGAATATAGAGGTCGTTTTCCCTTATACACTACTACATTCACTATCAAACAAAGCAACCGGAGTTTAATGTGTCATGTTAATTTAGTCACTTTAATCCATTTTTTATCCGAAGCTGTATCAACAACTCTGTTTGCTTCCACTGGAAAAAGACCCATTATCACAATCTCCACCAATGAGTATCAATACTTCAATGCTAAAGATCCCACTTGAATAAATTGAAAATACCAGGAAAAAAGAAACAATTTCAAGATGAAGGGTCTTGCTCAATTCGCATAATTTAGCATCATGACAAACATGCTTGGATGAATTCATTCTTCTCCTAATATAGTTTACCCCCGTTGGTTAGAATCAAGGTCAACATTAAATTATAGCTGTAATAACTCAGCAGAAGAAAGTACCTTATGGATGAAGCTGTGAAGCAGGAGATTTAATGGAATCTACAAACCCAGTGTTGAGCAACCTTTGTACATACTTCCCAAGTATATCCACCTCCAGATTCACCTTCTGCCCGATTTTCTTTGATGGAATCACAATATTCTTCTGCGTGTAAGCCACGAGCATGAAGTTGAAGCACTCCTCGGCGTCAAAAACCTCTACCACCGTCAAGCTAACCCCATCCACGGCAATGAACCCTTTGGGGACAATGTACCTCAGAAGCTCCTTCGTTGTCTTCACCCTCACCCACAGTGAGTCCCCTTCAGATTCGAACCCTACGATTTCTCCAGTCCCGTCTACATGTCCCTGCACGAAGTGACCTCCCATCCTAGTGCTCGGCGTCAAAGCCCTCTCCAAATTGACTTGAGATCCGCGTTCAAGCTCTCCTAGGGAGGTCTTCCGCAGGGTCTCCGGAGCCACTCCGGCCGAGAATCCGGACAATCCAGTGTCGAATTCCGTGACGGTGAGACAGGTGCCGTTGACCGCGATGCTGTCCCCGAGGCGGACGCCTTCGAGGACGGTTCCCGCGCCGATCTTCAAGGTGAAACTATCCGGATCTGCGCGGCCGATGTGCCGGACTTCGCCGATCTCTTCGACTATGCCGGTGAAGAGGGAGGTGATTGTGGTGGTTCTGGATCGGGGCTTGGTGGATCGGAGGGAATGAGGCTTGAGGGAGAGGGCGGAAGTGGGGCTGTTGAAGAAAAGCGATGGCGTCCATTGGTGGAAACGGGGGCTGACTGGTGCAGGAGTTTTCAGATTTTTGATCGAGCTGTAGGGTTTGGAGATGGGAGCCAACGAGGAGATGGATGCCATTTTCTGTTTTGTTTTCTTACCGGGCGTGCAGAGCGATGCAAGAGACAAATGCATTACAACCTACCCCAAGACCAAGAATCGACAGATATTTTAATTGTTCACAATGACATAAAATATCAATTTAATAAAAAAACATACGGAGTATTATTATTTTGTGTCAGTGTAAATCATCATACAAGAACAGAGTTATTTTTAGTATACAAATAGCTTAATTCAGGCGCATCAATATCTAATTTCCCTCACAGTTAGGCCACCGGAAATGTTGCTAACGCCCTTGGGCATTAAGTGTGTTTTAACGCACGAGGGGCGTTAAACACCGCCCTCCCTTTACCGTTATCCGGGCGTTAAAAGGTTTGCGTTAAACTATGACGCAATGCTTCTCCCACTCCCAATGGTTCTCCCTCCCCGAACGGCCATTGTTTGAAGTTTGGATTGTTGGGCATTAATTTAAAAATAAATTATTTTCAATATTATAAATACACTTATTTTTAACACAACAAATACTCACAATTTATTCTCGTTATCTTCGTAATTCCTCTAAAATATATTATATTTCTTTTAATTATTTCTACAAAATATTCAAAAAAATGAGATATTAATGTAATTTTTATTGAATATAATTTTTTTATTTAATGAGCTATTGTCGTTTAAATACAATTAAATAACGATATTTTGTTAATTTAATTTTAGAAGATGTGTATTTGAATATGTAAAAAATAGAGGTTTGAAGCCCCAGTTTGAACCCAAGGGCTTCAAACCCATTTCCAGTAAAAATTTGGTGTAAGTTAAAGCTGATATAGCAGAAAGAGAAAGTTTGACGCCCCAGTTTGAAGCCTTGGGGCTTCACGACCATTTCCAGTGCTCTTACTGTAACGCCCCAAAATATACCCTAGAATTATTAATGAATAAGTATTCAATTAATCAAATTGTTTTTATTAAAATAAATTGTTGTAGGGCTTTGGGCCGATACGAAATTTGTTTTGACATCTAATATCAAAAATCTGGATAAGTCTCATAGAGATAAATCCAAAATGTTGACTAATTGTGTAATCTTGATTGGGAACCTATGTCCAGGCCCAAATTAAGAATAAATGAAGAAATTGTTTATGATGTAAACTTTGAAATGATTTATTGAAATAAATCATGAGAATAAATAATATGAATGAAATGTAAGAACCTTTTTGAGTAAAGGTCAATTAAATCAATTTTGACTCTGTCAAAAGTTAACCACCCAAAAATATGATGTCGGAAAAAGTATTACAAATAAATATAAAAATTATATCGTTGGATAGAGTTTAAATGTACGATCAGAACGGTGCAAACGGATTTCAATTCGGAGAAAGTTGGACCAAAAAGTGTTCCCCGACTGTGACCAAATTAGTCCCAATCAGGGACTTGCGTTTGGAATTGTAGAGATAGGCCGTCCGCTCCACTGAGACGCCAAAACAGGAGAATGGAGTCATCACCGTGTCTTCTTCCTCTTCCTTCTCCTATAAAAGACTACCACAACTCCCTCCATTCTTCACTATTTCTTACAAAGTTTCATTCTATTCTGTTGTTGGGAGTGAAGAGAACGTGGTGCTGCTGTCGTATTGGTGTGAGGTCGCCGGAGTTGAGAGCTATCGTCGCCGGAAGTTTCGCCGGAAAATATTCAAAACCTTCATTTACCTTCGAGGTAAGCCCGTAGATATATCTAATGACTAGAATGTTCGTATAGATCGTTTCTACGTTCATAAACGGTCGTTTGGTTGAGTTTTGTGTTTGACATGTTTGAAGAACCAAGAATCATAAACCATGAAATTGATGTTAAAAGTATGAATTAATGATGCCAAAATGATCTATGAACCTTGCAGAACATCTCTATATAGTTTCGTTGAAGTTCGATAACTAAAAACCGTATTTCCGAAATTGGACCCGAACAAAGAAGAAGATGAACACTGGCTAAAAAATCACTGTCTGGATCGATCCAGGGGCTTGGATCGATCCCCTGGGAGTGATTTTTCATAGTATGGATCGATCCAAAGTGCTGGATCGATCCCCCAAATTTCTAATCCGAAAATTTGTTTAAAATGTTATTTTTGAGCTCTAAAATTGTAACACCCCAACCCGCGTAACCCAAACCCGTGAGACCGCGGACCGGTGTGCCACTGGATTGGTATCCGAATATACAACATTTTCAAAACAATTTTAAACAAACGTTCTTTCAATACATATAAAAATCCATCGGAGTAATTTAAAATAATGCGGAAGCCTTTTTTAAAGTCAAACAACTTGGGATCTTGCCCGAAAACGTAATAAGCATTAAAGTTAATTAAATAAAGCATAACAACAGATTAAAGAGACAGCCACGCCATCGTACATCTCCTCCTCAATGCCCTCTGGGATCGGCTCTAGGTTCATCTGTCTGATCACCTAAGGACAGCAAAAAGGAAAATAACGCTATCCGCTCAGCATTGACGCTGAGTGGCACTCCATTGTAGCACAAGAATAAACATAATAATTCAATGATTAAGATCGCGCATATGTTTATCCTTTTAATAAAAATCAATTCAACTTTACATTCGGTTCTTTAGACGGTTGACCAACAGTCAACTTATTTTCTTTCTTTTCAAACGATTTAGGTGTTAAGGGTTTCTCATTAACTCTTTGACCACCGGTCAAACCAATTTAGACTTTCACAAAAGTCAAACCACTTAACATTTATTGCCTATGACGGAGATAGCCTCAATCTGTAATACCAAAGATAGCCTCAATTCGGTGGAGGTAGGATCCCTCGGGCGATAGCCTCAAACCCAAGATCACAGACCCTCGTGCGCACGTTTTAACCTCACTGACCAGGCCCTGCAGCCGCCCGAGCAATGGCCAGTTTCTACGTTTGACATAATAAACCAATTGATCCTAACTACTGATTAGAATTAATTAATTAACTTAATTAATTCAATAAAGTCTTGGATTTAACCATTAGGTCAAACCTACGTCAACAGAATATCCAGTCAACACCCAAGTCAAACAGGACCTAACCCAAGTCAAAGTCAAACCTGTTCAGTCAATTCACAATCCTCCACAATTCAATTCAAATAATCAATTTAATTCAATTAACCAATTTAGCCAAATTATAGCATAAACACATATAACGATCCAAACCATTAAATCTATTCTAAATGCTATTAACTTCATAGTACGGACCTGGATTACGCCGAAATCGAATCGATAGCTCGAACGTAAGACAAATCAACGAAATCAAACGAACGGGTCAAATTGAGTCAAAATACGAAATCGACCAATCAATCCAGCGTGGAGGTTAATCTGCCGGCGATATCAATCCGGGGCAGCGGCTGGATGCGGCGACGGTGATGGACGCCGACGACAGTGGCGAGGCGGCAGCAGCTCCCAGAAATCACGAATAGAGGAGCAGCTCCGGTGATAGCCTCTGTCCGGCGAAATCCCTAGCTGCAACAACGGTGAACCGGAAATGAATCAGTCCGGTGAGTCGCAGCGACCGCCGGCGAAGGTGGCGACCCGGCATGGCGCTGCTCCAAAGGTCCAATTGCAGAGGAAATTGCGAGGAAGATGAAGAAGAGACTGACCTGAGCTAAGAGCGACGACGGCTGGAGGCGATTGGCGGCGCTGCACTCGACGGCGAGGAGCGGCGGCTACTGGCGAAGGAGAAGCAGCGGCGATTGGAGACCGTCGGCGGCGGCGCTGACCCTGGCAGTGGGCGACGGACTTCCGGCGAAGGAAAGGCAGCAGTTGGCTGGTGCGGCGAGGAGGCGGAGGTCGAACGACAGGGGAGGATGACCGAAATGAAGAAGAAGAAGAAGATAACGATTGTGTGGTTCATAATAGGTTTAGGTTTTATTTATTAATTCCAATACTAGTGGTTTGGGCTCCGGGCCCAAAATACCTGATTAAATGGTCATAACATGAGCTCCATAACTCCGATTTGCGAGCCGTCTGAACCGACGCGATCACAAAATTATTTCCTACGAGATGACATAAAAGTTGGGCTTAGAATCCAAATTATAATTTTAACCCCTTTTTAGGCCCAATTCGTAATCAATTGCTCTAACAATTTAATTAATTCTTTTGGGCCAGATTTCGGGGCATTACAAAAATCCTATTTCTGATACCAATTGATTATGATCATTATAAAAATGATTTTTCACATTAAAAGTAATATTTTTAACAAATAAAATGTTTTGTGATGCATGACGGTAAGTTATGGTGTTAACACCCGAAGCTAGGCCGCTAATTGTTATTGAATATTATGTTGATTGATATGATGATTATGGTAATGATTATTGATTGATAATTATGATGATTAAATCTTAATAAGTATTCTGATTAAAAAAATGATAATTGTGAATGATTAAATCATAATGAATATATTGATGATTGTGAAAATAGTATATTGTAAAGGGTATCTAGAAGACCTCTAAGATATACCCATATTAATGTTGATTTGAAAGGTATCTAGAAGACCTCTAAGATATACCTATTTAAGTTAGGCCTTGCGGGTATGAACCCCGGTGGCTAGGGTTAAAACGTACGTACGGGATCCAAGAACCNTGAATATTGAATTGAATATTGCAATTATTATGAATGACTGATGAACATTGAATGTGAATATAAATGTTGAATAATGAATAATTTTTAATAATTATTGATTATCTGAACTGAATATTATGTGCATGATATCAAATGATTTGATTATGAATTTAGATTCAGTTTATATGGATGTTCGATGCATTAGATATGCTTACTCAGCTTCAACGCTGAGCGTGTAGTATGTTTTATTTGCTACACGCAGGTTATTAGAAAGAATGATGTAACGTGATCCTAGAGGCGGACGGAGGCGAGACTGTCGGAATGGATGTGATGTTTTGAATTAAAGAACATAAATAAATTATGTTTGTAATTATGATTTGTTAAGCTTCCGCAATATTGAAAACTCCGTACTGTTTATATTATGAAAAATATTATTATGATAAATAAAAGTGTTTGAAATGTTTTAAATTTTTACGATTACCAAGTTAATACTTTAGTCTGAAAGGAGCTGCAGACCTGGACGGATTAGGGTGTTACACTTACAGTATGAAAGAACAAAAAGATTGAGACAAGAAAGATTGAGAGTGAATTAGTTCCTAAGACTAGATTAGTCACATTCTCAAATGATGATTGTTCTTGATTATTGATTATGATGATGGAATCATGATTAAAACACAAATATCTTGATTAAATTGATGATTATAAATATTAACGCTATCTAGAAGAGCTCTAAGATAAATCTCATGTGAGTTAACTAATTTAGACCTTGCAAGCATGAAGTATG